GGGTATTTCACGCGATGCCCTTGGAACCCAGAGAACAGATGCCTTCCGTCCTCATTACACGGGTGAGGAAACTGAGCCTCGGAGAGGGGACACGCCTCCCAAGACACCCAGCAAAGACGGATTTGAACTTGGACCCTCTGGCTCCACAGTCCTCCTCCCAGGGGGTGTGAGGGGCAGGCTGGGGAGAACCGCACCCCTGCACCTGCCAGAGGCTGCCCCGCACGTGGGCCAGGGCCACTCTGCTCTCTGCTGACCGCTGCCTGCAGATCTGAGGCCCAGCAGCTGGGGGCGCACACTCTGCCGTCAGCTTCCCGTCACCCCTCCCAGCCACATCCATGCCGGCCTGGCCTGACGCCACCCCCCCCCCTTCCAGGGCAGGCCCTTCTGGGATGGGGCCATTTCCTGCGGGTCTGGACCACCCCGCCGCTTTCCCCAACCAGGACCTGGCGGGGGCGGGGGGGCGGGGGAGGTCTCTACCCACCCTCGGTCCCACCGGGGCCTCTTAGCACCGCTCCCCCCCCCAATCCAGGCTCGGAACCGGAAGAAAGGCTGGGGCCTGGCAGGCCACGGAACCACGGCCGACGGTGGGGTCTGCGACAACCCCAGGTGCCCCCCCCGCCAGAGCCCGCGTGCTGGCTTTGCCCAGAGTCTGTGGGGCGTCGGGACAGGGTGGTGTAGCTGTTGGAAAACACGTCCATCCTTCACTCTGCACTGAAAACGTGTGAGGCCGGGTCCCAGGAGGGAAGAGCCTCTGAGCCCCGCAGGGCCAGGCTGCCCGTGGGGACGCAGGAATGGGCCGCCCCCTGCCTGCCTGGCCCTTCCACCCCCATCCCGCCCTGGGGGACCTGGGCCAGACCCCAGGGGGCCCTTCCTGACATCTCCCCAAGGTGAGCTTATGAGGGTGGGCAGTTACCATCCCCACTTCACAGATGAAGAAACTGAGGCTCAGTGGGGCGTTCTGGCCTAAGTCCCAGCCAGGAGCCCGGACTTGGCGCCCTGGACAGAGAGCTCCGTGAGGCAAGGGCCTGTGTGCTCACGTGCGATGTGTCCCTTCCAGCAGCCAGGGCGGAGGGGATGCTCAGGGACACCCAGTCCTGGACGGAGGACGACTCTGCCCAGACCCAGGGCCCCCTGGAGGCACCTCTCCGGGAGTCCCAGGAGACATCAGTGACCCCCCCCCAAGTGGAGCAACGTTCCCCCAAACGACTGTCCCAGGGTCCACAGAAATGTCCGGGTCAGCTAAGGACAGCGGGTGACCCCGGACGGGGCCCTGGAGCAGGAGGAAATGACGTTTCCTTATTCACCAGAACATCATTGGGACGAGTGTGAATCTGAACAAATATAATACTACGTAACAGGCTGATTTCCCGCCTTCTCCTCTGCCCTGCGGTCCTGCCCTCGGGAAGCACTGGCCAAGCGTCCGGGTCCGAGGGCATCGGGGCCGCATCCTGCTCCCCGGTGGTTCGGAAAATAAAACACGCGAACAGAGAGAGAGATAAAGAGGGAACGAAAGACACTCAGCGAAACGTTCGTGATCCGGGCAGGGATCGCGGCCCCTCTGGAATCCGCAGCGACCCGCCTGCGGCCGTGGGGGACACTTGGATTTCGGGAGGGGGTGTTGGGCGCCAGCGCCACGTCCCTGTTAATTTCCTGGCTGTGTCAGTCCCACAGGGTCGCCCAGGGCAGTGCCCTTTCTCTCTGTAGGTCTGGGCAGAGGCTCAGGATGTGTGCGTCCCTCGCGCCATTGGGCAGAAGCACATTTGCAGGAAAGACAGAGCCCATGTGGCCGGTCCCCCCGCCTGCCCCCCGCCTGTCCCCCGCCTGTCTCCCCCCCCCACCACAGCGGTGTGTGTCCTTTCCTGAAGGACCAGAGAGAGACGGGGTGCGGGGGGAGGGCGTTGGGGGGGTGGGCCTCCCTCTCGGGCCGCCCCCAGCTGTTCTCTCTCCGGCCACGAGACGTCTCCATGTGGCCCTACCACATGGTGGTCTTCATTTTTCAAAGCCCCTTCAAGTTTCTAAGCCGTGAGTCACAACGTGGCCCTTTCTCTCCCACCCGCTGCTTTCTGGCGTCCAGTCGGCGTCAAGGCCGCGTTTCCTCCCCTGCTTCCCGCCCTGGGCTCCTAGGTCCCCCATGAGGGGGTCTCTGCTGCCCTCCTGTGGCCACTGCCTGCAACACAGACGCCCGTCCCCAGCGGCCGGACCCGAAGCGGTTCCTGCGGCTTCTCCTCCTCCTAGAAGAGCTGGGCTCTCCCGAGAAACAGGACCGATCAGGCACGAGAAACTTCTTGTAAGCGGCTGGCACGTGGGGTCATGAGGACGACAAGCCCAAAACCCGTCCAGCGGCTGGAGACTCGAGGCTCAGGCCGGCGCCCATGCTGCGGTCAAGGCCGACTTTCTTCACCCTGGGAAGCCTCAGGTTTGCGCATGAGGCCCACCCGGGGCACGGAGGGGAGGGGCAGAGAGGAGGAGGGAGAATTCCCGGGAAGGCTCCTCACCGTCAGCGCAGGGCCCCATGTCTGGTTTGATCCCTTCAACTGTGAGATCACGGCCTGAGCCGAAATCAGGGGCCGGACACGCAGCCGCCTGAGCCTCCCAGGCGCCCCTGCAGCTCCTGCTTTTTAAAGGAAAAGCCGCCCTTTGGTAGGAGAGTCTGTGCGGCTTCTGCGGGAGTCAGGAGCGAGCGTGAGTGGGCAGCACAGGGCTCCTCGGGTCCGGCTGTCACGGGGACTACTTGCATGAGTCCTACTGCAGCCGGAAAGAGACAGAAACGGGGGACGGGGCGGGGGGACAGACAGGGGGGTCTGAGCAGCTGGACGTGCCAGCAGGCGGCAGGGCCACCGAAAGCCCCGATCTAGCGACCACCACGAGGCAGGGGCTGGAAAGGTGAGAGGGAAGGAAGGGAACAGGGAGGGGAAAGCCCACTTGTTCCCCAAGGGCGTGTGAAGGGGGAGCAGGAGAGGAGGGTGGGGGGCCAGGGGGAGGATGTCCCCGCGGGGAGAGGAACACGGGGGACGGGGACACAAAGCCGGAAGCTTCTTCAGCCAAGGACCTGAGAAGGGGCCAGGGTCGGGGTCCAGAACCCCCCGGGGCAAAGGGGCCTCCGCCGCATGGGCACCTCTAGACATGGAGACTCTCGGCCGGGCCTGCTCGGGAGGGAGCTGACCGTACAAAGGGATAATCAAAAGTACAGGCCGCAGGGGTGAGGTCAGGGGAGGCCCCCGACAGAGGCTGACCCGCTGTGCGGCGCCCAGAGGTCCAGGGCCGCGGTGTGGGCAGGGCTGAGCTCCCTCTAGGCACCAGGGCTGCTCACCAGCTCCGGTGTTGAGGGTGGTCCCCGGGCAGCGGCCACACCCCTCCAGGGTCTGCCCCTGGGGCGGTCGCTTTCTCTTCTCAGAGGGACACCCGTCACTGGATAGAGCCCACCCTACCCCGGCGTGACCCGCGCCCGCTAATTATATCTGCAAAGACCCTCTTTTCCAAATAAAGTCGCTTTCAGACATTCTAGGTGGACATTCTGGGTGGACGCTATTTAACTCAGCGCAGCCAAGGACGTGAGAGGGATGTGACCAGGTGCGTGACACAGCAGGCCACGGACGCCCCACCCGGCCAGCTTCCTGCAGGGAGGAGCCACGTGATGGCCGGCAGAGCCTGGGGCGCCGGCCGGAGAGGCAGTGGGGTCCACACGGACGTAAGCCCGAACACAGGGTAGGGAGGGGGCGGGGCGCGCAGCGGTCACAGTGGAGCCATCACCACCTCGAGGGTCTGCCCCTGCCCTGTCCCTTTACCCTCACACCAGAGACTTCTTTCTTCTTCTTCTTTTTTAAAAATGTTTATTTATTTTTGAGAGAGAGACAGAGAGACAGAGTGTGAGCAGGGGAGGGTCAGAGAGAGAGGGAGACACAGAATCCGAAGTAGCTCCAGGCTCCGAGCTGTCAGCACAGAGCCCGACATGGGGCTCGAACCCACAAACCGTGAGACCATGACCTGAGCCGAAGTCGGATGCTCAACGGACCCAGCCCCCCAGCCCCGCACCCCTAGACTCCTTTCTTCTAAGGAGGGTAAGGCAAGGATCCCATTTTAAAGAGGAAGGGACTTGCCCAAGGTCACATGCAGGGCTGGGGTCTGGGATCTGAACCTGTCTACACAGCAGCCTCTCAACGTCCCTGCTGTTACACTCTCCGCCCTGAGTGCCTCCGGTGTCTCGGGAGCCCCTGCAGCCCAACAGTTGCCACGGTCGCCCGGCACCTGCCCCCCCCCCCCCACACTCTTATCACTTGGATACTTCTTTTCTTTAGGTAAAACGTCCATGCGATGAAACTAACAAATCTTACAATTAGCAAAATGTGAAGTTAGTACAATTTTCTACGTGGTCTTGGATTTTCTTTTTGTGTCTTTGTTTTCTTACTTTGCTAACAACGGGCAAGCGCTGGTTTTATAATAGAGAAATAATTGACATGATGATTGACATGTTAAAGGTGTCCCTTCGGGCTGGTGTCCCGACCCCTCCATCCGAGTACAAGGCTTCGGGGACCCCTCCCCGACTGACTCTGTGTTTCCCACAAACCCCTCTTGAGTAACCGGGTCTCCGAGGACCCTGCGGGCCACCCCCAGGCGTCTGCACCCCTGTGGCCGGGAAGGACCCTGCACGTGCAGGCGGAGTCACAAGCAAGCTGCCCCCCTTCCAGTCCCTGCTGCCTCGTGGGGACCCCCCACGTTGCCTGGTTCTGCAGAACCTCCACCCTCAGGGAGGTGGGGGGCTCTCTGGGACACCTCCCCCAGCCAGCACAGGGCTGGGCGGGGCCACCTGGGAGACGTTGCCTGGCAACCAGCGGGGGCCCCTCCCAGGGCGGCTGTGGGCAGCCACGTTGCCTGGCAACCAGGTGGCCGCGTCCCTCGAGCCGAGTCCGCACAGCTGCGCCCAGCCCTGCCAACTTCTCCCGGGGACCCCTGGGGCTCCGTCCTTATTCCTTAGACTAGAACAGCTGGTGCTTCTGGTCACAATGAGCATCGTTCTCTCCAGGTGAGTGGCCCTGATGGCCGTGGCCGGGGAGGGAGGGGGCGGCGGGGGGGTGGGGCCTGATGCACCGAGGCTGGGGGGCGGGTAGTGGTAAAGGGGGGCTCTCCCTCCCACACGACCCCGCCTCAAGGTCAAGGGAAGACAGGGCTCGAGACCAGGGAAGCTTCCAGAATCTGACCTCCGCGGCTCCAGCATTCTTGCCCACAGCTCCCAGAGCGGCCATCCCCTCTTTCCCTCATTCATTTCCATGTGGAAAATCTCCCTTCGGCCTCAAAGCCCCCCAGACAACACCTGCTGTGGGACCACCCCTGACCGCACTGCCTCCGGCCGGGTTCCAGTGATGCTCTCTTACAGCTCGTGCGCCCCTTACCCACTTGTTCTGTGCCTGGTTCCTCTGAGGGTCCTGAACTTTAAAAATGCAGCCCCATTAATAACAGGGGAAAATGTGTGCTCTGAGCAGAGATCTGGGAGCTCTCTGTGCTTTCTACTTAGTTTTTCCGTAAACCTGAAACGGGCCTCCTAAAAAAGTTTTTTTTTAATGTCTATTTATTCTTGAGAGAGAGAGACAGAGCACGAGCAGGGGAGGAGCAGAGAGAGAGGGAGACACAGAATCCAAAGCAGCTCCAGGCTCTGAGCTGTCAGCACAGAGCCCGACATGGGGCTCGAACCCACAAACTGTGAGATCATGACCTGAGCCGAAGTTGGATGCTTAACCCACTGAGCCAGCCAGGTGCCCCTAAAGTTTATTCATCTTTAAAAAATACCTTCGGGGCTCTGAGAGATGAGAGAATTTGCACACCTGGGGGAAAAGGTGGAATCGGGATTCGGAGGGAAGAGGCCACGGGAGAGTAACTGGGCCAGGAATATAAAAGCCCCACTAAGGGTCCTGGGGAGGGTCAGGCTGGATTTGGAGCCAAAGCGGCCTTTGCACTCCTGCCGGCCATTTGACCAGCCTTGCCACCTGCTGCCTTGGAACCAGGAGGGAGGGGCCAGGTGCCCGGCTGGGTGGAGGGCGAGGCGCGGGCGACAACCGGGGCCCAGAACAGCCCTTCAGGGCCCCGCCTCCCCAGGGACAGCCCTCAGAGGGTGATGGAGAACACGGTGACCAACGCCGAGAAGTACTTTGGCCAGTTCTGCTCGACGCTGGCAGCCTATACCCGCAAGACGGCCCGGCTGCGGGACAAGGCTGACCAGCTGGTCAAGGAGCTCGCTGACTTCGCCAACACGGAGCACCCGGAGATGCGGGCCACCGTGAGGGACTTCGCCGAGGACCTGGCCAAGGTGCAAGATTACCGGCAGGCCCAGGTAGGCAGGGGGGACCTGGGGAGGGGGGACCTGGGCCCCTTGCTGGGGTCAGGTCTGAGGGCTGGAGCCGCACTGCGGGGCCACAGCTACCGGACACACCTCTTCCACGGGCGTCCCTAGAGGGTGGACACTCATACCAGCCTCTCCCCAGGCTCACACCTCCCTTCATGGGGCTGAGAGCCTGGAGGCTGCGTGGGGTTGGATAATGGGCAGACGCGGCAGGGAGACCCAGGGGGCCGGGCCTGGAGGCTGCCCAGGGCCCAGGACTTAGAGAAATCCTGACGGGTGGCTGTGAAGAGGCGGCCCCGAGTTAGGGAGAGAACTGCAGATAAAAGCCACCTGCCAGCCCAGCAAAGTCCTCCCTGTGATCATAGGAAAGGTTTTCTTTTTGTTTTATCTAAAAAAAAATTTTTTTAATGTTTATTTTTGAGAGAGAGATAGAGACAGCACAAGTGGGGGAGGGGCAGAGAGAGAGGGAGACACAGAACCCGAAGCAGCTCCAGCCTCTGAGCTGTCAGCACAGAGTCCGACGCGGGCTCGAACTCACAAACCGAGAGGTCATGACCTGAGCTGAAGTTGGACGCTCAACCAACGGAGCCCCCAGGCGCTGTGACCAGATGCAGGAAACGAGACTTAACACTGCAGGCAGCCGGTAAGCGGCTGCAGACAGAAAGCTCACTCCCTGTGCAGCCAGACAGAACACCCCCCACACCTTCTCGGGACAGGTAACGTGTCTCAGGGGAGGGGACCGGACTGCACCGTCTGTCCCCCCCCCCCGGACTCCCTAATGCCCTGTCGCGAGCGGGAGGCCCCCCGAGTCAGCGAATCGCCTCTCCCAAGGAAACGCAGACCTCCTGTGACAAGCAGGTGTCACCGCTTGGTGCCATCTTCCTTGATGCTTCCGTTTCAGAGAGAGGACTGCCATTCCCGGCTTATAAACCGTCAGGAGGAATCTTACGTGGCTTCTAAAAAAGGTTCACACACATCCTAAAGGGACAGAGCAAGGATTTATAATTGCAGGTTTTCTAAGAAGAAGATGTTATAAAGGAAGCGAAGGGGAAAGTCCCTTTGCCTTTGGACTCCTGGGAAAATTATTATTTTTTTAGATTTGTGTTTCTCCTACAGGAAAGGATAAATAAGGAAGGGGCTTGGTGGGGGTTCCAAGATGGGACTCCGAGCTGGCAGGCCAAGTTTTCTGGGCACCCTCCCCCCTCCACTGGTGGTCAAGGCATCTGTCTTCCCTGGGAATTTGCTAGAAATTCAGATTCTTGGGCCTCACTGAGCCGTTGCTGAATCAGCACCCCTGGGGGGAGGGCCTGGCAACCAGGGTCCTAAGGAGCCTGGGGGAAGGGGTGTATTAGGCACTGACTGGGGCGAGGCTTCCCTCTTGAAGAGTGACTCATACCCTCAGGGGCCACGGAGCACACTGGGCCCCGGGTCAGGCCTGAATCCCCCGCTATCCCGTGTTCCAAGTGGGTCTGTTTAGCCCCCACGTTGAGAGCGTGAGGCAGCCTGGAGAACCGAAACAGCAGTGGGTCCCAATGAACTGTCACGAGCCCCTCGGTGGGCACAGTCTTTATACCCATTTTACAGGGGAGCAAACAAGGCCCGTGCGATGAAACGTGCTGCCGCGGCCTTTGGGAGGTTCCGGCCGCTCTGACCCTGCGTGTCTGCACTCCCCCAGGTCGAGAGGCTGGAGACCAAGGTCATCAGCCCCCTGAAACTCTACGGGGCCCACATCAAGCAGACGCGGGTAAGCGGGGGGCCCTGCCGACCGGGTCTGGGCCCCCGGACATCCAGGAAGCAGCCCTCCTCTCTCTTGTAGGCCGAGATCAAGAAGTTCAAGCGAGTCCAGAAGAACGAGATCAAGCAACTGGAAAAGCTGGAGAAACTGAGGCAGAAGTCCCCCTCGGACAGGCAGATGATCGTATCCTTCCCCGGGCGCTGGGGCTGAGGCTGCTGGGCTTCCTCCGGGCGGGGCCGCGGCCTAACCTGGCTCCTTAACAGCACCTGTCTCAGTCCCAGGTGAGGCCGACCTCCCCAAACAGCGAGGTGAACTTTTCCCTGCGTGGGGCTCGCGACACCAGTCGGAGGTGCCGGGCCAGCAGCGGGCTGGGGGTCAGGAGACGGGGACAAGCCAGCGAGTCCCCCCCCCCCCCCCCCCCCCCCCCCCCCCATCACCTTATCGGGGCTGCTGGGTCGATGCTCACTGCAGGCGGGCACTTCTAGCCCCACCCCCCCTTGTCTAGATGAGGTAACCGTGACCAAAAGAGGTGACCTGCCCTGGGTCCCAGCAGGGAGGTAAGGGGCCAACCGGGACCTCCGCCCCGAGGGCGCCTGACTCTAAAATCCAGGTTCCTCGCGTGCCTGGCGGGGACGCGGGTTGTGTGAATTAATCACCTAAGCACCGTTCCACGCGCAAGAATGAATTATCATTGAAAGCGGAGCGAGCACCTGGTCTAGAAATAGCTCGGCCGGTGCCCGCTGTTTAATTCTTGCAACAACCCTGCAAAGCGGGTGTTGTTACCGTCCCCTGCTGACAGGCAAAGAAAGTGAGGCTCAGAGAGGTTTAGCGACTTGCCTGGGGTCACACAGCTAGAAAGCAGGCCTGTCCAAGCAGCGCCCGCCCCTTTCACCACGGTCTTTTCTGCGATGACCACCTTGGCCGGCGCTGTCCACGGGGCCAGAGAGCTGACCCAGAGGAAGAGCCGAAAATGATCTAGAATGGTGTCTAAAGGCCACAACCCCCCCCCCCCGACACTGCCCACCCCCGGAGCCAGGCAGAGACCAGCGTGCAGAGGGCCTCGGCAGATGCCAGCCGCACCACCCTCCAGCTGGAGGAGGTGATGGACACCTTCCAGCAGCAGAAGCTGAAGGACCTTCAGGTAGTGGCGCTCGGCCCTGTGTGAGAAGTCCTCTGGGCTCGAGGAGTGTTTTTGAACACGCACGTGTGTCTGTGTGTGCGGGAGAGTGTGTGAGTGCGGAGGCGTGTAGGAGGTGTTGGTGAGCACGGTGAACACCTGTGGCCCCGGCTCCCAGGACAACGAATCCTGGCCCGATCCTGGCCGCGCAGCACTCACAGCCCCGCCTCTGAGCACCCAGGCCCAGCCCCCCCAGGGGAGTCGGGCAGACTTTGTCCCCCCAACCCCCTCCTTTCCACGAAGGACCCACAGCATCTGGCCTCACTCCCTCCTTTCCTGCCCTTCGCTGAGCGAGCCATGGTCAGGCGCAGGGGGCTGGGCACTGGAACCTTCTCCTCCTCTCCCCCGACCTTGCACTGCAACCCAGACTCCTGGGTCCAGAGCCCCAGCTGGTCACAGAGGTCCCTGCCCCCACTCTCGATGCCCCATCCAGTCCCTTTTCCAAGTTGCAGCCTCAGGGACCTCACAAGAGGCAGCTGCAATTTGTCACCCCGGGTTCAACGCCCTCCCACAGCTTCCCTTATTCTAAAGATAAAGGCGGAAATCCTCCCCTAAGCCTCCGGAAGCCTCAGCCCAGCCTTATCTTGGACGCATCACTCAGCTCAAGTGCACCAAACCCCGAAGCACCCCAGTGCCTTTGCACAGGCTGTGGCCCCTCTGCCAGAAGGCTTTGCCTTTGCTCTGCATCAAGTTAACACCTCCTCATCTCCAGGGAAACTCCCCTGGACCCCCAGCCCAGTCCAGCCCTGACATTAACTCATCGTTCTGCTCCCTCTGGGGCCAGTTATCCCGGGGGGGGGGGGGGGCAGGTTAATTGTACTTTCAATCCGCTCATTAATCCAACAAATGGTAAATACACACCTACTGTGTGCTGGATGCCGTGCCCAGTGCTGGGACGCCATAGCCAGAAAAGGAAGGCCCCTGTCCTCATGGAGCCGACACCCTGAGGAAGCCCCATGACGCAGGCCATTCATTAGGGAGTGAAGAGTGTGGGGTGCAATGTGCTATTCCATGCGGCCCCCGCGACGCGGGGCGCCACAGGGCACGCACACAGGGGGCGTGGCAGGGCGCCTGGCTGCCATGTCCCCTGCCGGGTCCCAGGTCCAGGGCCTGGCACTCCGCACTCGGTATATGTGTGCGAAATAAACAGACGAGCGAGGAACGCACAGCCCCGCTCGGCGCCTGGGTGCAGGCAGGACTCGAACTCACAGCAGACCCACATCGGGCATCTGCTGTGTGTGAGGCCGGTGGGTTTATACCCGCGAGGGTTCAGCACGACACTCTTGGGCTCCACAGTTAGGGCCAACAAACGCACGCGGTTTAAAATGGGGGCCCTTTAAACTTCGGGGATGAAGTGTGCGAGGCGCGGGTCCAGGCGGCCCCCAGCAGGCCCTCCCCTTCTGAAAGAGGAAAACGCAAACCACGTCAGAGCCGGAAGGAGCGACAGCCGCCGCATCAGGTTCAGGTCACATTCCTAACACCGTGATCACAGTGACAACGGTGCCCTGGCTCCTGTCACAGCTGTGAGTGACGCCTTCGTACACGGGTTGACGCGGCCAAGCGAGCAGCAACCCTCCTGCGGGGCCGCCGCAAACCCAGCTCTCCCGTGGGCCCGCCCTGGCGGGTGGCACAATCTGCATTCTGACAAACTCCACGCCGCTGACTGGGGGACACGGACAGAGTCTCACGGGGCTCGGTGAAGGGGGCCACGCGTGTCCCTGCGGTGCAGGTAAGGTCGCTGCGGGGCAGAGAGGCCACAGGCCCGTGCGTGGCAGAAGACGACCACCTCCTTGGCCACCAGGCCAGCCTCCCAAGGGCAGAAGGGAGGGGCGGGACGCAGGTGTGCCCGTCACTGCCTGGGCCCGGGCCCCTCTCCCCTCTCCCCTCCTGTGCTGGCTGGGGACTTCCTCTGAGCTGCCCCCTCACCAGGCGCTGCGCTGTTGACATGGTGTTTGCACACCGCAGGCTCCTCCTGCGGCACCAAGCCTGAGTCCTGCTGGGGCCCAAAGCAGAGTGGGAGCCTCTGCTAAGGCCCGGCACATAGTAGGAACTTACGTGAGGCCCGGCACACATTTGGAGTTTATGTGAGGCCTGGCAAAGCCTGGCACACAGTAGGACCTTGTGTGAGGTCTGTTGCACAGTAGGAGCTTATGTGATGCCTGGCACATAGTAGGAGCTTATGTGAGGCCTGGCATACAGTAGGACCTTGTGTGAGGTCTGGCAAGGCCTGGCACACAGTAGGACCTTATGTGAAGCCCGGCTCACAGTAGGACCTTGTGTGAGGCCCGGCACGCGGTAGGAGCTTGTGTGAAGCCTGGCTCATAGTAGAAGCTGTGTGAAGCCCGGCACACAGTAGGAGCTTGTGTGAGGCCCGGCACACGGTAGGAGCTTGAGTGAGGCCCGGCACACGGTAGGAGCTTGTGTCAGGCCCAGAGCAGGGTAGGAGCCCCCACGGGGGCTGGCGCACAGTGGGAACTCTGTTGGAGCTTGCTGAGCTGAGCCGGACCAGCTGATATAAAGAAGCCAGTGTCTCCATCACACAATGACGTTTTGACGAGCCGGCTTATCCGGTTGCGAGTTCTCTCCCGGAAGACCCCTCACGCCCCGTGGTGACAGGGGTCCGTTGACCTGCAAACACCTGTCCTTGGAGAGAAGCAGAGAGCTTGCGGTTGAGCCCAGGGGACAGGGCCGAGCAGAGCGTGGCCTTTAGAGAGTCACCGAGAAGCGGGCCCTCAGCATTTCTGGAACAATTCCTGTGCAAGCAGCTTTTGCATGGGAACGTGTGGCCTGTTCCAACAGAAATGAAAGTGACGCTGTGGCCTCGGACCGTCCCCTGAGGACAGCGAACAGTCCCCACCCCCTTTCTCCAAGGCCCAGACGGCCCCAGGGCTTCCCTTCTGAGAGCGCCGTGTGTGTGATTCCTGCTTTTCTCCCCACAGAGAATTTTCTCAGACTTTGTCACTATTGAGATGGTCTTCCACGCCAAGGCGGTGGAGGTATATTCCAGTGCCTTCCAGACCCTGGAGAGCTACGACCTGGAGACAGACCTCGAGGTACAAATCTCCAACACCTGCTGTCTATCTGATTCTGTGGGGCTGAATTTGATTTCCGTTGTCTTGATTCAGAAGCAGTGTTTATGGCAACATTTTACAGCTGTTGTCATTCTGAAGACTCACTCTGATGAATCCCGTTAAATATCTGCCCCTGGGGCTCCTGGGGGGCTCAGGCATTTATTAGGCGTCTGGCCTCAGCTCAGGTCATGATCTCAAGGTTCGTGAGATTGCGCCCCGCATCAAACTCTGCTCTGACAGAGCGGGGCCTGTTTGGGATTCTCTCTCTCTCCCCCTTTCCCCTACTCATATTCTCTCAAAATAATTAAAAATTAAAAAAACAAAAAAAACAGACACACAAATCAATAATGACAAAGAGCATCCGGGCTGACGCCTGCTCTAGTTTGGGTGTAGACAAAGTGCTTCTTATCCCCATCTGATCTGATGAAAATCAAGCACGAGCGGACTTATCTAGAACACACCGAAGGGCTGGAAAACCGCGATCACCAGCCGTGATGATCTTCTGCGGTTCTGGGGTTCCTGGGCTCAGCTGGGTGGTTGTGTGTGGGTCTTTCCGTGGCTTTCAGTCGGCTGGTAGCTGGAGCTGGAGCTGGAATCATCTCAAAGGCTTCCGCACCGTATCTGGTAGGTGACGGCTGTTATCCGGGCACAGGACAGGCCTCTCGGTTTGCAGAGTTCAGTGCAAAATGAAAATGTGGGCCCTTCGTTCAACAATTAAGCATTTCAAGGGGCGCCCGGGTGGCTCAGTCGGTTAACCGTCTGACTTAGCCTATGAGGTCATGATCTCACACTGCGTAGGTTCGAGCCCCGCGTCGGGCTCTGTGCGAACAGCTTGGAGCCTGACGCCTGTGTCTCCCTCTCTCTCTGCCCCTCCCCTCCGGCTAGCACTCTGTCTCTGTCTCTCAAAAATAAATAAAAATGCTAAGAATTAAAAAAAAAAAAAAAATTTCGAGACAGTGACACCAGAGCGTCAGAACGAACACAGGGTTCTTCCGTGCTCGGGGCCCTGGGCTGCAGCACGAGCCACAAGCCACAGAGCCCGACTTGCCTGGGCCTCAGTGGGGCCTGCAGCCCAGACGCCGACATGTCACTTTTCATGGGTCGCTCCTGCCCCAGTCCGTTTCTTAGGTGTGAGTGGGTCGCTAAGGACATATTCAAGGGGAGGAGAAGCGCATCCCGGGTCCCAATGGGTGACGGTCGAGGAATTTGAGGGCAGGCTTGCAAACCACCATAGGAGGTTAGTGCAGACTGAATTGGCTCCGGTGCCTTCACTCGGCTCTGTCATGTTCTTCTAGGAGCAAGAGCAATCTCTGATTTTCCTGTGTGACTACAGCTGTGTTGCCTAGCCTCTCCGGGCCTCAGTGTCCCCATCTATAAAATGGGACGGTAACACCCACTTACTGGGCTACTGCAGATTACACAGGGAGCTCGCAGACAGGACCCGGCACGGGTGGGGGTGGTGCCGGCCATGCGCCACCTTCTTCCCACCCCCACCCCTCCTGCTCTCTCCTCCACAGGATTTCAGAGCCAAGATGCACGGGGTTTACGGACATCACGACGCTCGGCCACTCAGGGACACCGTCTCCTCCCCAGCTCTCCCGTGGTCTTTTCCTGGCCAGGTGAGCCTGGTGGGGGCGGGGGGAGACCACTAATCCCGTGACAAAGGGGAGGCCATCTGAGAATGGGCTGCTTGGCGAGCAGGCAGACCCGCCCCAGGGTCTGGCCTGGACCTGCCTGCACGTCAGCCAGCACGCGTCCTGAGTGCCCCCTAGAGGCGTCCTGAAGTATGTCGGCCCGGGAGGTGAGGGCTCTGCACAGGCCATGCCTGTGTCCCATCCCTGGGATGCCCACGGGCTTCAGAAGCCCGAATTTCTCAGGTTTTAGGAAAGTCGTGCGGTACCTAGACTCCGTGTCACCCTAATGAGCGCCGCAGAGTGCACTTCCGGTTCCGCAGGAAAACCTCTCTGCGCTCACCCAAGTTAGATAAACAAGGACTCTGAGAGGGTTAGTCACCCAGGGAGTAGGGGACAGGCGGGGGGGAGGGGGGGGCTCCCACAGTCGAAGGTTGAGGGGCAGGGAGTGTCCCGTGTTGTTCTGAATAATTCCAACAGCAGCGAAGCAAGTAAGTACGGCCCCCAGCTACACCACCTGGGTCCAAACCCACTGCTCCCAAGCTGTGTGCCCTCAGGAAAGGGCCTTAACCTTTCTGTGCTTTCGATGCCTCACCGGCAAAGCGGGGCTAATAACAGTACCCCCTGTAGGGTCGTGCACTTATTTAGGGCCCCATACTTGTCACTGGCCTCGTTATCATTGATTGTTACTATTCAGGGCGTTCAGAGCACCCCACGGGGCCAGACAGAAGAGGAGGGGAGCGCAGACGAGTCCGCGGAGGAAGACGCCGTGGAGGACCTGCGGGCCCAGCGGCAGGCACGCCATCAATAGGCCCAGACTCCCCAGTCGGAGGAGCGGGGCCTGACCCCAGATGCTCCGGGCTAGCCTGGGCTGGGGGCTCTGCGGGGGGTTCTGGGTCCCCTCGGAGCCTCAGCTCCCTCATCTGTACAATAGGGGTGATCTCGCTGACCTCACGGGGCGCCCTGGGGATCACTGTGCCCAGCGCAGTGCCTGGTACGGAATAGATGCTCAATAAATGTGGGGTGCGCCTTAACCTGGATCGTGGTGTGTCTCCTTTCCCACCTTATGACCCGGGGACTCGGGTGTTTAAACCCTTGTGAATGCCCAGAGCAGGGCGGGTGGCCTCCAGGGCTGCTGTAACAGAGCGCCACCGACCGGGGGCTCAGACAACAGGAATCTACAGGAAATTACTCTCTCGAGGTCTGAGAGCAAGATGTGGGCACAGTGGGCTCCAGGCCTCTCCCCCAGCTGCCGGTGGCCGTTGGCCATCTTTGGGGTCCCTTGGCTTGTAGACACGGCACTCTGACCTGTCTTCCTCCTCGTGTGGCCTCCTCCCTGCGCGTGTGCGTATGTGTCCAAACTCCCTCTTTTTATAAGGACACCAGCCTTACCGGCGCAGGGATCCACGAGGTGTGGGACCTCATCCCAACTAGTTATAGCTACAAAGACTCTGTTTCCAAATAAGGCCCCGTTCAGAGGCACTGGGAGTGAGCATTTCAGCATATGGGTTTGGGGGGGACCTGTGTCACCCCTAGCACGTAGGCACGCTGTGCGGGGGTAACTTTGGGACCGGGACGCATCACAGAAGACTAGGCAGGTGGAGGGTGGCAAAGGTGAGGCAGCGAGCAGGCACCATGACTTTCTCACCAACAAAGTGGGAACAGAAGACGTCCGTGGGATCGTCGTGGGATCAACGTCCTCACCACAGTGATTTTTATCACCCCAAATCCAGCTCCATGGCACCTCCTCAGGGAAGCCCACCCGGATTCTACCAGGGAGAACACTCGTTCCAAAAATAACTAAGACATTCTAGGGGCGCCTGGGTGGCTTGGTCAGTTGAGCACCTGACTCTTGGTTTCGGTGCAGGTCATGATGTCATGGCTTTGTGGGTTCGAGCCCCATGTGTGGCTCTGAACTCGCAGCATGGAGTCTGCTTGGGATATTCTCTCCCCCCTCCCCCCCCACTTGCACTCTCTGTCTCTCTCAAAAGTAAACTAAAAAAATGTTTTAATAAATAAAACATTCTATACTTTCTATAAAACGATTTATAAACACATCATAGATTGTATGCTATCGTACACGCAGTCATGTTTCATAGCATTCATCTCACACTTTTACATGTACATGTGTGTGCACATGTGTGCCCCCCCCCACACACAATGTCCATCTTCTTTAACCGTGTCTGTGTCCTGACCCCACTGACATCTTCTGAAGAAAAGTGGCCCTGCTCAGTCACCTGGCGGTCCTGGAGGCTGGTGGCCCAGCACACAGGGCCTGCTGGCCCCGTCCCGCTCTGGCCCCGGAGCGCCCAAAGGATCAGCGGTTCCCGATTCTGGGGCTGGGCTAAAGCCAGAGCCTCCCTTGCCACCATCTCCAAAAAAGAAGGTCTGAATTGGGGCTCCTGGGTGGCTTAGTCGGTTAAGCATCCGACTTTCGCTTAGGTCATGATCTCGTGGTTCGTGGGTTCGAGCCCCGCGTCGGGCTCTGTGCTGACTGCCAGCTCGGAGCCTGGAGCCTGTTTCAGTCTGTGACTCCCTCTCTCTCTGACCCTCCCCTGCTGACGCTGTCTCCTTCTATCTCTCTCTCTCTCTCCTGGAAATGAAATAAAAAAAAAAAGGTCTGAATTTTCCAGCCACTTCAGAAGAGCTTCTCTCTTTCTGGGCCCCAGAGGCAGAGGGGGGCGCTCAGCGTCACTGATCTCCAGGGTCCCCTTCTCTGTGTATGTTTGTTCTCTGCTCCTCCCTGAAGGCGAACTCACCACTGCTTGGCCGGAGCAACTGGCGCAGGTGTGTGCAGGGGGAGGGCATGCCCGCTCCGCTTCCGCGGAAGGACTGACCTGGGGAGTGGGCGCCTCGTCCAAGCGCGGGCAGAGAGGAGCGGGGCTTCGGGGGAGCCGAGCCGGACGCCCCCTGCAGACAGAGCTCACAGGGTTCAAGGGCAAGCCCCTACTCAAGGCGGACAAGGCCACGGCACGGGGTGCCCAGGGGCCTGAGGAGTCCACCCATCCTGCAGCATGCGCACGACCCGAAGCCAGCCAGGCTCACAGCGGACCCCAGCCAACTCCAAGGCAGCTTCCAGAAGCCGAACGCGCGACCCAGATGCGCGGGGAGCCCCAGGAGGCCCCCCAGCCAAGGCGGAGGGGGAAGCGCAACAAGCCGGAGGCGCGGGCTCCCGGCCCCAAACCACACGCCGATCTGCAGCCCCTGCCGCGGACGGCGCCGCCCCGCGCGAGGAGGCCCCCGGGACCCGCCACGGCCGCCGCGCCCCCGGGGGCCTCTCAGCAGAGCCACGTCCCCCCCCACCTGCCACCAACTACTGGGCCGTAGGCTTCCGTGTCCAGCCCCTCTCCCCCCTCCCCCCTCCCCTCCCCCTCCTCTCCCGTGGCCTCACCTCCTCTCCGTCCCGGGTCCCTATTTTCTCCTCCCCCGCCCCCACCTCTTCACCACCGCCCCCTCCCACGGCCTCACGTCTCCCTCCCCGCACCCCCCACCCCCTGCATGCTCGCCCCCCCCACTCCCCCCGGCACGCTCACCTCCTCCTCCGGAGACCCAGCTCCCGGCAGCATCCCTGTGACACGAAGCCATGGCGCCCCGGGCACCTCCACAGCGGGGCCTGAGGGCGCGGGGCTCCCGTCACCGCCCTCGCGGCCCAAACGCGCCCCCGCAGCGCGAGGACGCCCAGCTCCGGGGCGCAGGCACGCGGCGACGGGGCGGGGCCGGGAACACGCATGCGCAGGGCGGGGCGGCTGCCCCCTGTCGGCCCTCGGGGGCGGTGCAGGACGTCCCGCCACAGTTCGAAGGCGGCCAGGGCGCCTGGGGGTCCCTTCCAGGTTGAAGTTCACCCCGCACGGAGCCACATACCCCACGTCTCCGCCAAAGATAGTTCAGGAACAACGGATCGGGAACTGTATGGAATGAAATGAATGCAGCCACAAACACTACTACGTACACCAACATTCACTCAAAACTGTCCACGGATCAATTTCAAATGCACATCTGTAAAAATTCTAGAATACATATAGAAGGGAATCTACATGACTTTGGGTTTGGTGATGGGCTTCACCCAAAATACCAAAAGCCTACCAACCCCCACACAGAAATCAAGACCAGCCACAGACTCGGAGAGAGTATTTGCTAACAGGTAAAGGTCCGAAGGGCAAACGTAGCTCCGTGTCCTGCATCATCGGCGAGTGACAAACCGAACCACAGTGACCTCACGCTGCACACCTTCCAGCATGGCTAAACCCCCAAACCACGACAATGACATCTCCGCCCACTGGGGGATGAGGCTCAGGACGCTGCCCTGAAACACACAACTCAACTGGATACATTTTAAGATCTACGCGGCTTCCTCAAACACCTCATACATCCGGTGGCATCTCCATCCAGAACACAGAGGGGTTCCCCTCAAATGCCCCTTTCAGGTCAGCGGGAGAAAGGTTACACCTTCCAGAAACGCCTTGTGAAAGCGTCACTGCTTAAACTGCTTTGTGAATTTTGGAGCACGCATTTTCAATGTCATCCTACAACATTTAGACGGGAACGTTTGGTCGTTTTTCTGTCTTAAATAGGTGGGAGCCCTCCCAAGGCACCTCTCCCTGGGGTTCTTTCCCCGTCGGGAGAGCAAAGGGAAGGACGGTAGTCGGACGCACAGCCTTGTGCACACCACCTCTGGTCCTCACGGGACCCCCTAGGCTAGCTCATGTGCTCCTTCCCATTTTACAGGTGAAGAAAGTGAGGCTCACAGAACAATTTAACGATTGGTGGGGAGGTGGAATGGGACCTGGCCTCTTTCCCCGGGCCACCCCATGCTCTTCTAGTTCTCTGCTCCCCCTACGGGGTCCCTCCTCGTCCACGTATCTGAATCCCACACTTGCCTGCTGCTGCTGCTGGAGCACAAGAGGAAGGGACAGACATGATGGCCTGGGGTTGGGAGCATCCACCCCTCTGTGTGTGGGTAAGACCAGGTGGCATTCTCCACACTGGGTGAGAGAACTGGGAATGTGGAGGTCAGGTCTCACCCCAGCTTGCATACCCCGTGCTGGCCCCTGGGCCCTGTGTGGCAGCCCCTCGGGCTGAGATCCTTCCCCCAAACTCGCAAACTGATATCATGACCTGCGCATAAGTTGGGCGCTCAACCGACTGAGCCCCCCAGGCACCCCAGCTATTGACTTCGTACAATTAGAAAAAGAGAAAGCCCGACATTTCAGAACACGCGCCTGTCACACCTCATTGGAAGGGACTGATAGAGGCACCTTGCTTCTGTCCGGGTGCAGCTGGGCTCCGCCTCCCCCACTGAGCCCCTGAAACCCAGTGGAGGGGGTCGGCTGGGGTTCAGAGGAAGAGCGGGATCAGGAGTCCAGCTAGAAGGGGCTCCAGGCATCCCAGAGGCCCTGGCTGAGGTCTGGTCCAGGGGTCCCCCCCGGCAGACCCCTACACAGACAAAGGGTCCTCACAGATACGTGAAAACAAAAATTAAACAGATCAGCTTTTTTTTTTTAAGATTATTTATTTGCGTTTCCACCTTCTGACAATCTGAGGTGCAATATAGAGACACGTAGTTTTTTCTTCATAGGAAACAGTTTTGATTTTAGCACTGTTCTCAGATCTTCCGCCTTGAAACCTCCTCAGCCTTGAAATACTGCTTGTAAAACATCACTGACCGGGACACAGAGCTGCAGAACTGTATCAGCGAGAACACTCTTTTCACTGAACTTGACTTTGACTTTGGGTTGACTGAAAGGCAAGGTCTGGGTGTGGCGAAGACAAATTCGGGTCAGAGAGCCGCCCCGTTCTAACGCATTTACATATTTGAAGGGGATGAAGCCCATTGTCTGAACTTCTAGCAGCTCCTCCGGTGAAAGGTTTGAAGGGACAGCCCCAGGCCCACCCAATGCCTCACCCCTGTCAGAGCTGACGTGTGGGAACCGTGCCCGCAGCGCCTCCCCCTCTCCTTCCACGAGCACATGTCCAGGACCAAGGAGGGAACGGGGACTGTCCCCCAGTCCCAGGACTGACCGGTGGGTCAAGGCGGATTTGCCCGCCGGTGGCCCCTTTTGTCTGAAGTCCAAACCCCTTCAGGTGCAGCTCGGGTGGGCTCCAGGCTACAGCCTGCTTGGCTCTGACCCTACCCTGGTGGAGCCTCCAACTGTGCAGGTTAGGGGACCCCAACCGTGTGGGGCCCCTGTGACAGGCTTGTGCGTGGCAGTTACAGGAAGCTGGGCAAACCCAGACCATCCTGTCTTCCAGAAATGACAAGCTTATTACCCCTTTCCATTAGTAACCACGAGCCCCACAGGCAGAGCGCGGCCGTACTTGAACCCTGGGCGCACGTGAATCCCCTGGACACAGCTCGGTGGGGCTCCACTCCCGAGCTCTGGTTGACTCGGGGAACACGGGCCAGCATCCAGGGAACAGTGCACGCTGGCCCCCGGGAGGCCCTTCCGTCTGTCCCCAAGAAGTGGGATTCTTGGGCCCAGGGACAACAAGGGAATGGATGACGCCCCTGTTTGCAGCCACACGGCGACAAGGATGTGTTGGACACGTGGCCTGTGTGGCTTTGCCCGAGGTCTGAACACTACGTATTAGTATTAGGGGCGCTTCTAGCCAATATGGTTCCCCTTTGGGTGAAACTCATCCCCGAGGGTCCTGAGGAACCAATCGTTTACAGGGAGACTGGGGGGAGGCGGCGGGGACCTGGGAGCAAGGGTTCAAGAGAATTACAAGGCTGGGGGGTGAGGGGGACCCCCACCTGGTAGCTGGGTCCATGATTGAGAACGGGGGGCTCTACCCCCCTCCTGAGGATGGGGCTGGGCTCTGTCCCCTCCTGCCCCCTCCCTCTGGACCACAGACCCTCCTTCCCAAGCCTCCCCACTGTTCTGAGCAAAGGACTCGTGCCACCCCCCCCCCACCCCCCCGCAGCTGCCCAGGAGTCCGCGGTTGTAGATAATCTGGTAATAAAGCTGATCCAACCTCACGGGTCCACCAGGATCCTCCCTAAATAAGAGCCAACCAGTTAGGATGCCGGAACGGGCAGAAAGGCCAGGCCCTCAGCTTGTGGCCGTGACCTGCGGCTGCAGTCGCCGCGGTGGATGGAGCCGCTTATGAAGTCGCTGTTCGTGGCACGAATGCTGTGCTTGTGACATCAGGAGTCCGGGTGCCAGGCGCTCGCGGACGAGCTAGCCACGCAGAGCGGTCCGTGGAGGCGCAGACCTCGAGGCTGGGCCTTCTCCCCACGGCCGGGGGCCCCGCGGTCCAGCTGGCCTCGGAGAAGTCACGGGACCCGCTTCTTTCAACTCCGAAAAGGAGGGCAGAGAGAGATGAGGCGATCGTCCGGCCCCCGCCTAACCCTGGCCGCGCTAGCTGGCCGACCTGCATAGCCTAGATTTTAATTTGGGTACTTAACTCAGGAAATGGGCTCTTTCCCCTCCTCCTTTTGGTAATTTAAGAGCTTCTTGGCAAATCCCCCCCCCTTTTTTTGGCAATAGGAAAATCATAGTTGACTCCATTTCACTGTACAAGTCACTTAGACTGTCAGAATCTGGTTCTCCTAGCTTTGGTTGAACACACATGGACACACAAAGCAGACGCGATCTGAAAAGTGATGGGCCCCTCTTCCCATCTACCAACGTTGCTAAAACCAAAACAAAGGCTAAACGCACACAAAGCTGCATCTCAACATTGTCCCAATTTCCAAGCAGGGAACTTTCCTATTTGAGCAGACAGGCGTCCGGCTGAGGGCGCCTCACACGCCCACCTCCCCGCGTCCCTGAGGACAGACAGCGGGAATCAGAAACGCCACTGGGCCTTCGGAGCCCCTGGCTTTGAACACCGCACCCGCCGGGACGGGCAAGTCTCTTGTCGCATATGATCTGATGCTTCCTGCATGGAGTCGACGGTTCCCGAGTTTACAGGAAGAGCTGGCGGGGAAAAGCGCCCCCGTGTACTCGCTGCTTGCTGGGACGTGCAAGAGCGTCCCCCGTGGTTTGCTGTGGCCGGGCCCCGGAGGGAAGAGACGGCATTGCAGGGACAGAGGAAAACGCCTGGGGTGAGCTGCTTCCTAGGTGCCGCTGGCGAGAGGCACCGGAGGGAGCGAGTCTACCACCAGCTGACGGCATCAAGCCCTCTGAGGAGGCCCAGGTCTCTGGGAGCATCTGAGCCACTGCCGGGGTCAGGACCATAGGGACGGGAGTGGGGGGCACCCAGCAGCCTTTGCGGCTATTTCAAGAGGCCTATGGGGGGTGGGGGGCGGGGGAGGGTCTCAGGATCACTTGTGAAGTTAAAGTGCTTGGAAAAGCCCAAAGAAGTCACAGCTGCATTTCCCTGCAGCAGCCGCCTGGCCCGCCCCCACCCCGGCAGGAAAGGGCCGCCGCGTGCCCCCGGAACGCTGGAGAAGTCTCAGAACCCACTCCTCTCCCTCCAGAAACCGTTCCGAACTTCTATACAAAACTCTTATATACACAACGGTAAGTCTTCTGTGCATCTTAGGATAAAGGAACGCATTTCAACTACTAAGAGATGACTAATAAAGCCAATGACACGGCCGTGCAGGGAGAGCCGTGCAGGGGCCTGGGACAGACCCCTCTGTGCCGCCCGGATCCTACAGAGGGGGAGGGGAGCACAGCACAGGGGGAGGGGAGCGCGGAGCACATCCGGGCGTGCGGTGGGGCACTTGTAGGAGGGGGTGCATCTGAAGCAGGTGTCGGAGGAGGGGCCCACGTACCCATTCGTATGACCTTATTTCTCAAAATGCGTTGGGTGGAGGTGCCGTCCCTGGGGTCCAATGCTGGCTGGGGGGCGGGGGGCCTCCAGTCTGAGTGACCTGCCCAGCAACAGGGCTGTGCTTTGTCTGGTGACACTGCCAGACAGGCTGGTGTCACACACACGCACACACACACACACACACACGCACGGAGCCATCATAAGAACGGACTGAGCCTCGGGGCGGTGTCTGGCCGGCAGCGTCGCACACAGACCACAAGCTCCCGCCACCTCTCCCGCCATCGCCTAGATGTGGGTGCTGCCGCTCGGTTGGCACGTGCTGTCTCTGGAACGTTCCAGGGAGGCGCCCCGCGAGGGAAAGCGTCCCGGCACTGGCTGGGCGGGTGACTACCAGGCATGTATTTGTTATACTCGAGAGGACACGGTGAGGTGACGACCGCGAGGTGGGGAGGCAGAGAAGGGACACGGGAGGGGAGGATGGGGGAGGGGAGAGCCCGCCGGGCCCACCCCAAGGTCAGTGCCCGAGAGCAACTGGCGGACGCAGAGGGACCCGCACTGATGGAAACGGGCACACCCGGGGGCCGCGTGGTGGAGGCCTGTCTTCAGGGGTCAGTCCTCTCGGCTGGTCCACGGCGCCCAGTCTGAGCCCACAGGGAAGGGCCACGGTTCCCGGGCACCACGTGGGAGACGAGGGGGCGGCTGCGGGAACGAGGTCCACCTGCATGGGCAGGGGAGGCCGAGGCGCCGTCCCACAGCCCCGCTAACGAGCCTCACAAGTGCCACCACGTCTGCAACACCAACACAGATTTCCCCGTCATCTCTGCTTCCACGGAAAGCGTGGCTGTCCTGTAGCCACCAAAGCAACTTCTCTTCTCTGTGCCTCCTGGCGGGACACACACAGTCCGCGCTCCCACCGGGGAGCGGCCGGCAGCGGCCTCTGTGTCCCAGAGGGAAGCTGTCAGCCGAGCAGGCACCGCCGCAGACGCCGGGGTGCTGATATGACTCAGCCCCGCCCGCGCCTCCGCGTCCCGGGAAGAAGGTCCTCACACCCACCCGTCTGTCTCCGTCCCTAAACCAGGAAGTGTCTCTTTCCTCCCGGGCCTTCCTGTGACTCCGGTTCCTGTCACGTGGCGGGGACCGGACAGAGACCAGCAGCAGCCACGGACCCCCATGGCCTGGCCCCTCGGCCCCCGACAGCCCGGGGTCCCCTGCCAGCTCACGGCGCCCTTCTCGGCATTCGCACGTGCACCCCACCCCCTCTCCCTCCTGCTCCTCCACTCGGTCCTGTGTCACAGGCCTGACACTCAGGAGTGGGCACAGTCAACTTGGTTTTGGCCACGTAATCCCAGGGACACTTTGGCACGTGGATGGGGGAGCAGACAAGGCAGAGGGGAGCTGGGGAGGTTGGGCGACCAGATTCTTCTAACCGCTAGTTCTCAGGCAGCGTGGGGCGGCTCTGGGTGCCGCCGACGTCATGCAGGGTCATTGGGTGGGGTGACGGGCGTCGCTGGCCCAGGACAGTGGTGTGGACCCTCAGTCCTCCTGGGGGGCCTCGGGCCACCTCCCGCGGCCTCTACTCGGCGGCCATCTGCTCAATGTGGTCGCTCAGCAGCTTGTACTGCTCTGGAAAAGAGAACTACGTTAATTCTCAGACGACGGATGGCGACACGGGCAGGTAGGTCCTGCCCCTGGGGTCCGGGAACAGCCAGTACCAGCTTCTGCAGGGACACCAGGGCCCTCGGCCACTAGCACGCTGCCCGCCGGGCTCCTGGAAGGGGGCTGCTTGGAAATGGGGTGAGCCTGGAAAGCGGGGTGCTGCTGGACGCAGGGCACCAGAGCGCCCGGGCCTGGGTCCCACATGCCGCGCCTGGCTGGGTGGCGGGCAGGGGTCGTGTGCTTGCCCAGCACTGTGGGGCTGATGACGACGATATTCCGTGATTTTCCAGGGGAGTGTGGAGCACTGTCCGGCCTCCTCAGGCCACTCCTCTGTGGCCCCGTTTAACGGGGTACAGGACAGAGGGCTGTTTTGTTTTGCTTTATTTATTTTTTTAGAAAGCTGGAATTTTTTTTAATGTTTATGCATTTTTGAGAGACAGAGCGCGAGGAGGGGAGGGGCAGAGAGAGAGGGAGACACAGAATCTGAAGCAGCTTCGGGCTCTGAGCTGTCAGCACAGAGCCCGACGCGGGGCTCGAACCCACGAACTGCGAGATCATGACCTGAGCTGAAGTCAGATGCTTAACTGACTGAGTCCCCCAGGCGCCCCAGTTTTTTTTTTAAAGGAATACTGTGTGAATCATACGCCTAACTGTTTAAGTGGAAGACATTTTAGGCCATGAGGGAAAATTGTGGAAGCAGGTGGAACGATCCGTAAAGGCTGGCTTCACTAGTAGACCAGGGGGGCTGACACGCAGCATAGCCTTTTCCATCACAGAAGTCAGAGATTCTAGAAAAACAAAGACCCCGTCTGCCCCCATCCCCTCCTGCCCCCACACCTCTCATGGCAGTGTGGCTCAAGACAAAAACCAGGCACATGGTAGCCACTTAGGAAGGGCAACTTGCGGTCGGATGGCTGCCAGTGTCAAGTTCAGAGTCTGGGCTCCAAGTTACGTCTTTATCTTTGACGCTGTTTGCGAGCACGGAGCCGGTAAGCCCCCCGACCCCGGCCCACCAAGCCCCGCCCTGGCAAATCCCGCCTGGCACAAATGAGTTTCCCAGCACAGTGACAAGGGTCCCGTGCACTTGCATCGACAGGAGCGCACAGGACCGGAGACCCTGCCAGATAGTTGAGCACGTTTCTAACTGAAGCAGCAGCAATGCTTTGGGTGGGGGTGGGGTGTCCCGGCAGGCAGAGCGCTCGCTCCCAGAGCCCCGGCCCCGCCCGCCTCCGGTCCCGCTCACCCTCGTCCAGGCTGCCAATCACCGCCTGCTTCTTCAGGAAGTCGCTGCACAGCTTCTGGTTCAGCCCGAACGCCAGCATGTTGTGGGTGAATGTGCTGGGGGGAGACGCCGGGGGCTGGGACCCTTCCTGCTCCCCAGGGAGGGGGGCCGGGGCCCGACAAGCAGCCCCCCTGCCCTAGGTGTCAGAAGCAAGACTGCCCACCACCAAGCATGGGGTCGGGATGCAGGTTCCTTGGGAACTAGAACTTTCCCGGGAAACCGTGCTTTCGAGCCTCATGAGAGTACATAGACGTCAGGGACGCCACCCCTGCCTCCTCCGGGGGCCCCTCGTCGCGGCAGCCAGGCAACAGGAGGATGGGTCTGCCCGCCCGAGAGAAGCCCAGGCGCAGCCCCCGCCCCCCCAAGTCCAGGCCCCCCAGGGTCCCAGGGCGGGTGGCGCCAGGGCCCTCACCCCAGTTGCCCGAAGGTGATGTTCTCGTTGAAGCGCAGGCTGTCGTCTCTCTCCTCCTGGGTCATGTGGCACCACTTCTCCCTGCAAGCACAGGTGACAGGGGAGGGTCTCGGGACCCCATCACGCCCCCAGCCGCTCGCCCCTGCCCCGGTCTGTGGGTGCTGCGGGCGCCCGCGCGCGTCGGGGGATGGGGAGCCCTGGCCTGAGGAGCTGCGTGTTCTGTGTTCACACCACGCCTGCCCCAGGTTCAGACACGCCGCCTGGGGAGCCCCAAACACACGCGTAACCGCCTCGTCCTTCTGGGGATGAAGATGCCCCAAAGCTCATACGCCTTCTGGTGACCCCGGACAGGTGCCTCGGGCTTGCCCGGAACATTCTCTAGGAGACAAGAGCGCTGCCCCCCCCCCACCCCATACCCTTCTCTGTGGTTCAAGGGTGGGAGGTCCCGGCCCCGTTCCACAGGCAGAAAGATGTGCAGGGGGGACAGGCCCTGGCGGCGTCCCAGGGCAGCGGGCATACAGAGCCTGACTGGAGGCTCGCAGGCTGGCACCGGGTCTCTGGGCCTCCCTGGCTCGGTGGTAGGGCCTGCACTGCCTCTCGGGGCCGGGAAGCCCGGGGAGCAGCCGAGGCTGGACGCGCCGATGGCCACACTGTCTTGTTAGGCGGGGTCTTGTCTCTGCTGCATTCCCCGTTCCCCCCGCCAGCTTCCTCACGGCCAAGGTTTAGGCTCCACGCCCCTCCCCAGAGCACACAGATAAGACCCTGGTCTTCTGGAGGCCCCCGCACCCCATCCCCCATGACCACCGCGAGGAGGCCCTGAGCCTGCAGCAGAGTGAGAGGGCTCGCGCAGCATCTGGGGTGCAGAGGGGGATCTCTGGGCGTTAATCCTGAGCCCCGACTGAGAGCCACGTCCAGCAGCTGCCACAGTGAGTCGTCTCCCCCTGCCCTGGCGGGGCTCCCCTGCCTCTAGTGGACCCGGGTCCATCCAGCTGCTGCACTGACCGCTCCGTCCCCGGCCCCTCAGGCTGCTGGCAGGAGCAGATGCAGAAGATGGTCACTTAAGCCCATTTCCCCTTAAAAATTAAGCGCTGGGGGATGAGTCTGACTAGAACGAGGTAGGAGAGAGAGAGAAGATGAGGGAAGGAAGATGCAGAGTGAGGGAGTGAGGGGTGCGGGCAATGGAGAAACCAAAGGAAGAAGAAAAGAACCACGAACATCGAATCTTCACTGCTCCCCACCCGCCGGGCCCCGGGCCACTCATGCTGCTGCGGCTTTGCGGGAGGTCACAGGCCCTCAGGGGCGCGACAGTCGCGAGGGGCGGGGCCGCTCCCGTCCCAGTGTCCTCATGCTGATGACAGGATGCCCATGAAGATACCCAGGATCCGGTTCCAGGCACGAGGCTAATCCCAGCCCGTTCTCTTTCCCACCCTCTTCCTCCCAGTGGTCACCCTTAGGATTGTGCGGGCACGTAAATCCCCATTCCAGCATCAGGCCAGCCGTGGGCAGTTGTGTAGGTTGTACAGTGCACAAGCCCACGCCGTGCGGGAATGGCTCAGCGGCTCTGACCTGGATAAAAAGGTGGTTCTCTTTGCCACAGCCAGGGCTAGAAGTGGGACATTTAATCCGACCTCTGAAGACAGAGGTGGAAGGTCATTGATGGCCCACCGATCGGGTGATGCCTGCCATCAAATCAATTCCTCACAACGGAGCTCAACACCTGGTGCTGGTCGAGGTCTAACACCACACAGAGGGCAGTGCCCGCAGTGGGGACGTGGATGTGAGCAACAGACACCTTTGGAAAAGCAGGCTCTTCTGCCTCTGAGTATCCTCCACCGAGCTTACCGGAGGCGAGGTAATGCTGGAGGCATCCGGTTGCCCAGGGACCCAGAGCCCACCCCCACCCCAATCTCGAAGGGACACTTGCCCTTCTGGGTGAGGCCCGGGGCACATGTGTGCAGTGCGGTGGGGGGTGGGGGGGCCGGTCCTAGACGCTCTGGGTGAGACGGCCCAGGGGGCCCAGGGGCCGGCATCCCTGGTGGGCTGCATGCCGACCACTCTGAGGGTGGCCGTGACGCCCCAGCCCTCCTGGGCCTCAGCCATGGTGCTAAGAAGCCTTGGGAGGTGGCCGCTAGTCTCACTGCCACCCAGAGAGACCGTGGGGACGCCGGGGGCTTTGTACTAAAGGGGCACCCGTTATCCCCAAATGCTCCTTTTACAGCATAATGAGGCTGCATAAGAAACGCGATTTCTCATAACAGAATAAGCACGAGAACTACGCCGCTGATTAAAGGAAGCACACTTCGGGAAATTTCCAGCGAAGAAACAACCATCGTATCAGAAACCGTGTTTCGAACAGGCCGGCCTTGAACTCTAAAAATATGTTACAAAAGACCTCTGACAAATACAAAGGCCAAACGATTAGAGTCAGGCCCCGCTGTGGCTCGAAGGAAACCGCCCTGTTCTAGGCCTTTCTCTCCAGGGACCCCCTCACACACACGCAGCCTCCATGCCACCCAGTGGCCGGGAAGGAGGGGGCAGCTGCCCCAGGGGCAGGGGCGGGGCTGCCAGGCCCCTGCACACCTTGGCGCCTGGCCGTACAGAGGCAGGCCGTCTGCGCCCATCCGGGGCTTCGAGCCAGGACCAGATGACCCAGCGTGAAGTCGGCGGCGGAGGGGTTTCCGGGGCCGCCGAGGAGGGGCCGCAGGGCCAGGGGAAGGCTGGAGCCGCTCAGAAGCGGACTTTGCGCGGCCCGCTCCCCACACCGACCCCAGGCCTCGGGGGTCTCCAGTGCCCTCTCTGTTTCCTGATCCTGGGGCTCTGCCTGGCGACCTCCCACCCGTCCCGGCCTGTCCCGGGGCTGGGCTGTGCCCCCTGTGGCAGCCAGTGTGCGGCTCCCGCCCTGAGGTGGCCCGGCTCTGGGGGCCCCCCTGGCCCCGGAACATGAACAAAGTCACGCGGACACACACCTCTTCTCCTCCTCCTCTCCAGCATCCCTTCTGGAGCGGCAGCAGAAACAGGTAAACAGAGGAACACGTCAGAGTCATGCAAGATACGTGGATGGAAAAAAGAGAACAGCGAAAGGGGAGCATTATTACAGGCAGAACAGAGAGACGGAGAGAGATGGGGGGCGGGGGGTCTCAAGACCGGTCATCTGCTGGGAGCCGACAGCTACGGAAGCAGCAAGAGGAAACCCCGTTTGCCTATAAGCATCTCTGGCAGCCTGGCTTCCTGGCAGAGCGTGGAGTGCTCTCTCTAGAAGCCCCTGGATGGTTCCAGCATCCCCCCCTCGGCGTGCTCCCTCTCCCCCCGTTAGAGAGGTCTGGAGGCTTCAGGGTCCCGTGACTGGGGAGGGTGCCCATAAGGGGACCCAGGACCGGGAGGGCCGCCACACTTTTCCTGCCCGGCCGCCAGACACGGTGGGCAACGCCAGCTCGCTGTGGCCAGAGAGGCAGCGACCTCCAGCCTCCGTGCCGCCGTGAAACGGTTCACAGCAGGGGTCTGCCGATGCGGCAAGAGCACCCGAGGGAGGCTGGGAAGGTCTGTTCAGGCTGCAGACCAGAGGCGTAAGCGGAATGTAGCAGCTCTATCTCCCCGGCCGTTAGCTCTCTCGAGCTGAGTCTGCAGGGGGCTGGAGGGGGGCCAGCTCTGCGCCCCACAGCCCCGTGGCCGTAGTTGGTGCTCAGGATTCTGAATTCTTACAGCGACAGGCAGAGTGGAGCCTTGGGGGTCCCGACGGTTTCATTCCGGGGATGTATGGGTTTGGAGAGGGTCAGGCCACGTCATGCCAGAGCCCGGGGCAGAAAGCGTTCATGCAAGCCGAGGACCCCCACCCACGAAGCTGTGCGTGCCCAGGACCCTCCAGGCAGCTTGCGGGACCACCCCGGGGCCAGAGGGAGCCGACGAGAGACAGACGCCATCGACTGAGCCATCCTGCTTGCCTCTTCAGAAACCGGAAAATAAAGCCGCGCCCTGGGCTTCTCCCCCAGGGCAAAGTGGGTCCCGGCGTTGCCCTACCTGGTGGTGGGAGACCGTTTTCTCCTCTCGCAGTGGACAGCGTCGAAGAAAGCCGCATTCCAGAACCTCAGTGTGTGCCTGTGGGACAGAGAGGTGCGTCAGGCCCCCCAGGGAGGGCTGGGAGGCGGGTCCAAGCGCACCAGAGGGTGAGGACGCAGCCACCCGCATCTGTGGGAGTCTCAGAGACACAGAGCGGAGAAGGAAAAAACGAGCACGGGCCTCTGTCCCAGATCGAGGTGAAGGCCGGGGCTCCAGGCCAAGGGTCACTACGGCACCCACACACCTCTCCAGGACGAAGGCGCCACGTGTGGGCAGGGCAGCGGCCGGCCGGGCAAGTCCTGCATCCGTCGGGTCAGAGCCGAAGCTGCCACCTGCGGGGCCTGGATGGAGGCCGTCTTCTGCTTCTCCACCCGCGCGGGGCCTCCCAGGGGAAGCAGGGGACTTGGGGGGACCGGCTGCCTTAGAACAGGGTCCAGTAACATAAATGGGAAACTGGCACTGATAGCCTACGTGCAGAGAACAAATGTGTTCCTAGGATCTCCCGAGTAAGAGAAGGAGGGGTCAGCAAACCACGTGGAGGTGTGTGAGCCACACCCGGCCTGCTGCCTGCTCTGTAAGCCAGATTCTATGGGAACACGGCTGTGCCTGTCACGTTGCCCACGGCAGCTTTTACACGTCAACGGCAGGGTTGAGTACTTGCCTGCAAAGCCTGACATTTTTATCACTTGGCCCTTTCTAGAACAATGTGCTGAGCCCTGTTGTGGGGGGTGAGACAGCAGCCAGGTCACAGCCCAGAAGGCCCGAGACGGAGCCCAGGACAGGGGTGACGTGGCCGGTAGCTTCTTCCTGCTTCTGCCGAGCGTGGCCCAGCTGGCGTGGGGCCTCTGTGCACAGTGAGGCTTTGGGACTGCCCGGCCCTTCCTGGCCACACTCCAGTGCCAAGTGCTCCCCAGGGCCACACCGTGGTCTTCCAAGGAGGGGCACGTGGGACACCGTTTGGGCTCCAGGCGCTACCTCTACACCTACTTGTGAGGGAGTACAACTCGGGGACAAGGGACTACAGCAGCTCAAGCGGTCAAACAGAGCAAGACAGAGAGCCCGGTTTCCCCCGACCACTGGTCTCTCGTGGTCATGATCACTTTCGTTCCTGTACATACGGACAGGATAGCTTTACATACACGGGGACAGAATTCACATACTGCGAACTCAGTCTTTTAACGTATACGATTTCACTGTTTCTAGTATATTTCAAGTTGTGCCACCATGACCACTGTGTACTTCCAGAACACTCCTCAGCCCCCGTAAGCCACCCCCTGTACCCATGAGCAGTCCCCCCCCATCCCCTCCTCGCCTCCTCTGCCTCCAGGGACACACCTATCCCCAACGTTTCATATAAATGGCATCACGCACCATGATGTGTCTCCATCTGGTGTGTTCACTCAGCTAAACGTTTTCTAGGTTCCCCCACGCCGTCACCTGTCAGTGACGTTACGCGGCTGAGTACCGTGTGGTATGGCTGCACCGCATTTTGAGTCTCCGCTTGTGGACATTTGGGTCCGCTCCGCCTTTTGGCTATGACGCACCTACGCGTGTGACGTTTTGCTCGAGGACCCGCCTTGGCCTGTTTTGAGGGCCCTGCCGCGCAGAGGGGAGCTGCACGACCGTTCCGCACGGCGGGCTACCCAGTTTACGTTCCCGCCAGCGCCGCATGAGGGTTCTGATCCCCCCACGGCCTCACGGACACCTGCCATCGTTCACCTTTTTTTACTGTGGCCCCTCCTGGCGGGCAGTGACCGCGGCTTCTGAAGGAGCCAGTGGCGCGGGGGCTGCGGCCTTACCAGATGGGCTGCTGCTTCAGGTGTGTGTACAGGTAGATCTTCTCCCCCTTCCTCTCTTCCTCTGGGCTGCACACGGTCACTGCGGGCGGGTGACGGGGGGAGGGGTGGTGAGCAAGACCGACCGTGGCTCTGGATGCAGCCACGCATTGGCCAACCCCTCAGGGACCCTCCCTGCGGGCACTGGTTACGGACGTGTGTAGCTGGAATTCCGAGACAGCTTTTCTGCCCCCGCCTGGCGTTGGGACCTCCCGCCTGGCGATGGGGCCTCCCGCCTGGGGATGGGGCCTCCCGCCTGGCGATGGGGCCTCCCGCCTGGCGATGGGGACTCCCGCCTGGCGATGGGGCCTCCTGCCTGGCGATGGGGCCTCCCGCCGAGGGCAGTGTCCCCGGAAGAGCTCCCCCCCCAACACTTTCCATCACTTCTCTGGGACAAGGACTTTGGTTCCTGAATCCTCTGCCCAGAAAAGAGGTTTTTCCCCAGAAATTCAATGGGAAATGGCAGACGGGGGTGGAGAGGAGTCGGGGATCATCCGGGGCAGCATCCGGTGATGTGGGGAAGGGACCTGGATATTCAGGTGGGGCTGTGAGGGACCGGCGTCCGGCTCACTCGCCCCCGCTGGGAGGCACTCACCGGTCTTCTGCGGCTTCTCCTTGGGCTTGCTCTCCTCCTCCCTGGGGGAGAGACCCCGCAGCGGTGAGGGAATGACCCTCCCCACGCCCATTGTCTCAGTCTACACTGCTGAAACCAAATTATATCTCATGAGCGATGGATACATTTGCTGCGGTTTTCTCTGAAAGTGTTGGGTCAACGCAGCGTTTACCAATTGCCAATCTCCCCGAATCAAGATGTGGCATTTAGGCTTCCTTGCACCATTTTCTCTGAATCTAAAGCTGCCTGGACCAGACAAAGAACGGAGCCGCGTCACCGGGCGGTAACCTGCCATGGGAGGTGACAGTGGGGACTGTGGGGGGCGGGGACAGGCACCGGGAGCCCGGGGCGCTCTCTTGCTGATGTGCCCCCTTTCCTGGGAGGGCTTCATTTCCACACCCCGCTTTCAAACGCCCCGTCCCAGAAGGCTCCTGAGCTCCTGTGGGAGAATGGCCCGGGGACAAGGGTCTCACCGCTGCCCACTGACTCTCACCGCGGGGCTTGTCATCCCGCTCCCGCCCGCGGGCAGTGTCCACAGGCTCCCGTCTGTCTCAGGAAACACGCTCCCCAGGGGACATCCCCGCCTGGCAGCCACCCAATAGCCTTTGCAAACCACAGAACACTGCGGGGGGGGGGGGGTGTCTCAAGCAGGGCTGGTGGCTGGCGGGCCCCCAAGGTCACCAGACTCCTACACGGCCAGGCCAGCGCCCCCCGCCACCGGCAGGCTGCACATGGTCTCTGCCGTGGGTCCCGGAGGGACGCAACCCCCCCTACCCCCCACGACACTCACTCTGGTTTCCTGGCCAGGGGCCCCTTCAGCTTGGTCTCCAGCCCCCCGAAGAAGCCCTTGACATTCTCGGTCTTGGCCGACGTGTTCTTGAGCAGCCGCTCGGCAATGTCCTTCTTCTCCGCCAGCCAGCTGTTGGCTGACTTGAGGTAGGAGTCGATGCTCCCCGCGGGTTTCTCCTTGGACTCGGGGGTCAGCAGCTGCGGCTTGCCTCGAGGGGGGAGAGGCGGGAGGGGGCCGGAATGGAACCACGCTGCGTGGCAGGAGCCGCTCAGTGGCAGCGGCCGCGACGAGCAAGGGCCCCCAGACGCCCGGGGAGGCAGAGGGTGAGGCCTGCTAGGGTGCCTCTTGGCGCCTACTGTGTACGAGAAGGCAGCCAGGTGCGCGGGGACTGAAGGAAACAGGTGAGGACTCAGCCCTGAAGAAGCTCGAGGGCCTGAATGAGGAGAGCGGCTTCCTGGGAGAGGATGGTAAGCAGCCCAAGGCCGCCTGCAGCAAAGGGTCTCCTGCAGGTCGAGGCGCCCCCTACAGGTCAATGGGTCAGGCCAAGGCACTGAGTGTCCCCTACTAACATAAGCTGCTCTCTGCACAGATGTGACTCAGAGGAGCAATGTCCACTGTTCTCTGAGGAGGGGGGGGCACAGTTTGGACGACGGGGTCCCATGGATGAAGGGCCCGCCTAGTGCCTGCCTGGCCCCGAGCTAAGGCCGCCTGACCAGCTACCGCCAGCAGACATGAGGCACGGAGAGGACGGGCAGCTGGGAGCCGAGAGCGCACAAAGCCACGCTGCAGAGGACGCAGGGTTACAGCACAAGAGCAAACCTGTGTGTCCGGGGGGACGCGGGGAGGGAGGCCGGGCTTAGTGCCGCCCGAGCCAGATCTAGTCCACACATGGGCCCCTAGTGGCCTTCTGCCTATGGTGGCCTGAACGAGTCCCTCTGTCACGCCCGAGGAACTTCACACAGGGAGCCCTCAAGCTCCAATTATCAGAAAGTTCCAGTGCAATGAGCCAGAAGAGCTGTCAGATCTCGGAATAAAGATACCCCTGGAAGGGATAGTATCCTTGACTGAGGTAGGGTCTTGATCTGTAGGCATGCCTTGACCTGAAGGGGGCGCCTTGACACGGGGGAGACTCTTTGGCCTGTAGGGGGCACCTTGACCTGCAGGAGACCTACTGACCAGTAGGGGGTGCCTTCACCTGGGGGAGACCCACTGACTTGTAGGGGGTGCCTTGATGTGGGGTAGACCCTTTTGCCAGTAGGGGGAGGCTTGACCTTGGGTAGACCTCTTGCCTGTAGGGGGTGCCTTAACCAAGAGGAGATCCATTGACCTGTAGGGGGCGATACAGACCTTGTCTTCTCCTGATTCAGGAACCTCACTCATCCTGCCCTGACATCAGGTTCTGTTGTTTTCTGGAAGCCTCACAACTTTGCCCTCAATTGGGAAGAAATCCTCACTTGCTGTCACGTTACAGGTTGACAAGTCTGGGGTTTCTGTATTTGTCCCCACGGCCGCTGCGTCCCTGGGCCTTACCGATGTGGTAGTAGGTGAAGCACATGGTCATGAGGTTCTTGGCAGGCCCGAAGTCGTCCATCTGATGACACCTGAAATGTGAAGCCAGGTCGACTGAGTAAAGAATCGTTGTGCCCCGTTTTCTCCCCCAAGTTCATGAAACAAGACCTGAACATTCTGTAAGCGTGTCCACGTGAATGCGTCACTCCCCAGATGCTACAGAGAGGCAACAAAAATAACCCCCGGTTCGGTGAGTTACCCACAGGCACGCAGGGGCTGCTGTGACCCTGGGCAGGAAGGCGCTCTCCGCCTCTCCAGCGGCCTGGCCTCCCTCTCTTTCAAGGTGGAAGAGGAAAGGCTCAGGGGGCTTCATCCCATGCACAGGAGCAGCGCCGGGACTGGAAGTCGGGCCTCGGGTCTCAGGCCCAAACCACCAGTCCCAGGCCACGCAGCCCCCCAGCCGCTACTTCTCAGGAATCAGCAGTGATCTAGAGGGGCCCCTCCGTCGGTGGTTTTCGGGCTTGAGTTCCATCAGAATCATCGTGAGGGCGGTTAAGATATGGGTAGCTGGGCTCACCCCCAGAGTCTGGTTTAGTGGGTCTGGGGCAGTTGGCCTCAGAACGTGCATTTCTGACAAACTGCCTCATGAAGGAGACGTTCTGAAGCTCCTGGGCCCCGGGGCAGCACTTTGAGAACCGCTGGGAATATGAATTACCTCCCAGCCCTGTGTCACTTGGTGAAAAATCAAATTTGATGTACAAGAACCTTCCTACACGCAAAAACGTTCTCCAGATGTAAAGGATTATAATTAGTGTGTTGTACTTACTATGTTAAGGATTACGAGCTACGCAGAGCTACAACTCACAAACAAAAAAGGGGGCGGGGGGAATCTTCAAAGAGAGGCCCTGTCTGCCGCTAGGAATGTGCACTGTGACAGGGGCAGGTGCCAAAGAGATGTCCACCAGCACTGGGAGCCAGGGCAGGCAAGGGAGAGGGATAATCTACCCTCCGCGGGGCGTGCGTCAAAGAAATTCTGGTACCATTCAGACATCAGAACACCACGGAGCCGTCACAAATGCAGAGCTACATGTGGGTGCAGTGACTTTCTTGGAAAGATACACAGTGTCCGGGGTGCAGGTTATTCACACGGGTTACTGTCAGGGGGAGGAGCTATAAAGGGGAGCTCCTTTCCATTTTAGGAGCTGTGCCTCTCTGCCCTGTTCTTCTGCGCTTTTCTTTCCTGTTTAGTTTCTAATCCTGGACAAGTATTACTTAAGAAAAAGAAAAAAGAAAGAAAGAAAAGTTGATGGAATTTATCTAGACAGTGGGGTCAGGGCCGGTTATCTTTTAATATAAAAATAATATAAACGTCACCAAAGTGCCAATAAAATCATAAGAGACTATAAACAAAAGTAAAAACGAAAGACACTCAGAAACTAAAAATGAAAAACATCCGTAAATGTTAAAAACTAGTAAATATTTTAAAAACATGACAAGTGTTCTTTCTTTTTTCCCAACCACACAAAAATATAGATGCCTATAAGGAAATGGGGAGATTCTGTGTTTCGGTTGGGTTGGAATTTGAATGGAATTTCTTCCTCCCCGCTGATTTTATTTAAGGGAAAATTCAAAGGAAATGGAGAATGAAGTGCTTCTGTTGCCAAGTGGGACAGGTGGAGTCGCTGTGAAATACAGATTCGTGAGAATTCCTATCGATGTGACTGTTTGGAAGCTGTGTGTTCTCAGTGCCCGTGAGCATGTTGTACACAAGAGAGCTGGGCCTGCCTGGAACCTTCTCCCTCTGCCATGCTTTCTTGTCCCCCGAACGCTTGCTGGCTCTGAGCCCTAGAATTCCACCCCCGCAACCCGGGAGCCTGTCTTCAACTTGGGACATCCTGAGCAAGTGCGGGAAACACGGGGATCCTCCCCTGTACCGTGTCCCCCCTCCAGCCATGCTGCACGCTCGTGGGGGAAGAGAAAGCGGTGAGGGGACATCCAGATGCAGGGGGTTAGGGCTCGCAAGTGCAGCTACCTTTCTGCTGGGAGGAGGGGGAGGAAAAGAAAAGGGGGGGTTCAGGGCTGGAAGGACAAAGGGGACATGGGGACAAGGTATGGGGCCTGGACCTGCTTGGAGGCCCTGATGACAGAACGAGGGGAAGTGGGGGCACAAATGACTGTCAGATCGGGGCTCGAAAACCCCGGCATCCACTGAGAGGCAAGGCCGCACCAGCCTCTTGCGGGCGGGAGTTAGGGTCCTCCTCCCTCCCGCACCAGGGCCCCCAGGACAGGCTGGGATGACACGCACTTGACCCTGCCCTCCTGCCGCAGAGGCGTCCTCTCCCTCCCACAGCGCGCTGCCCGCCCCCCCACTCCCCTGCATCGGGAAAGCAGCCATTCCGCTTCCCCAGGGCAGAGCCGCATCCCCTCCATTTCGTGCTGGGGGGCCCGGCGCTGCTCTGACGCAGGTCCAGGATGGATGACGTGGGTCTGGCGGCCCTAGAGCCCCGGGGCCTGGTAAGCGTGGAGAGCCCGTGACTCAGGCAGCCTGCCTTCCCCCGCCGCACACCCCCGACAGTGACTACCGTGCCGCCTGTGACAAAAGGCTCCATCAGGGCCTAATTAGTGCGCAGGCCAGGCTGCAGTCATCCATCCTGTCATTAAGTGGGCGGTTATCTCGTTGGAAGTGCCTCACGGCAGGAAATCGAGAACACGCCACAGCTCTGCGGCAGGAGCGCAGGGTCAAGTGCATGTCATCCCAGCCTGGCCTGGGGGCCCTGGGGGAGGGGGAGGGAGGTGCGGCCTTGCCTCTCAGTGGATGCTGGCCTTTCTGAGCAAGTGCTGTCACGGCTGGGTCTGTGTGGGGCGGGACGGGGGAGGGGGTGGGGGCGGGGGGACACGCCTGTGGGACAAGGCTTTGAGCAGCAACATGACTTACTCGAACAGGACCACGGCAAACGACTGCACCAGGCGGTAGAAGGTCGCCTCTGACACGCACTTGGAATTGCAGCGCTGTCCAGGAACGGGCCAGACATGTCAGGGGGTGCGCAGGGGGCGCCGGGCCGCGAGCCCCGGACCGCAGCAGCCTCCCCTGCGCGACAGAGACAGGGACCCCCGAGCAGAGTGCGGGCCCAGGCACACGACTGTCGCCTGGCAGGGTCCAGGCCAATGTTTCCGTGTCTCCTCAAAAAGGTTAAATGTAGGAACGCAACACAGAGCAGTTTGGAGGGACCAAACGCCCCGACTCGGCCATTTCTGGATTGTAGACTTGGGGGTTGTTTCTCTGTTTTTGCTGATTTGCATTTTCTAATTTTTCTTTGAAAAAACAAATTGTGATAAAAAGACTTGGAAAGTTGGAGCGCCTGGGTGGCTCGGTCGGTTGGGTGTCTGACCTCTGCTCAGGTCATGATCTCACAGTTCATGGGTTCGAGCCCCGCGTCGGGCTCTGTGCTGACAGCTCAGAGCCTGGAGCCTGTTTCAGATTCTGTGTCTCCCTCTCTCTCTGCCCCTCCCTCGTTCATGCTCTCTCTCTCTCTCTCAAAAATAAACATTAAAAATATACTTTAAAAGCTAAGAGTTTAATCTACTTTTCAGAAAAAAAGAACCTAGTAGCTATTTACCAAAATTAATTATTTTCTGACTTCACATGGCTGTCACTGTCTTGAATATATTATCTTTGTAAAAACTGAATATTGTGAGTTATGAGTAAAATTATGCACGGACACAGTCCACATGCTTGCTCTTAAAAAACTAACTTGGGGGCCCCTGGGTGGTTCAGTCGGTTAAGCATCTGACTTCAGCTCAGGGCATGATCTCACAGTTCGTGGGTTCGAGCCCCATGTCGGGCTCTGTGCTGACAGCTCAGAGCCTGGAGCCTGCTTCGGATTCTCTGTCTCCCTCTCTCTCTGCTCCTCTGCTGCTCATGCTCTGTCTGTCTCTCTCTCAAAAATAAATAAAGTTTAAAAACAAAAAAAACAAAAAAACTTGTCCTGGGGCACCTGGTGGCTCAGTTGGTTGAGTGTCCGACTCTTGATTTTGGCTCAGGTCATGATGCTGACCATGCTGACCATGGAGCCTGCTTAAGATTCCCTCTCTGCGGGCACCTGGGTGTCTCAGTCGGTTAAGCATCCGACTTTGGCTCAGGTCATGATCTCACAGTTCGTGGGTTCGAGCCCCACATCAGGCTGTGCTGACAGCTAGCTCAGAGCCTGGAACCTGTTTCAGATTCTGTATCTCCCTCTCTCTCTGACCCTCCCCTGCTCACACTGTCTCTCTCTCAAAAATAAACATTTAAAAATTTAAAAAAAAAAAAAGATTCCCTCTCTGTCCTGCTACCCCTCTCCTCCACTCACTTGCCCTCTCTCTAAAATAAAACAAAACAGGGTGCCTGGGGGGCTCAGTTGGTTAGGCGTCTGACTTCAGCTCAGGTGGTGATCTTGTGGTTTATGGGTTCAAGCCCCGCATCGGGCTCTGTGCTGGCAGCTCAGAGCCTGGAGCCTGCTTCGGATTCCATGTCTCCCTCTCTCTGCCTCTCCCCTGCTCATGCTCTGTCTTTGTCTCAAAAATAAAAAAACTATAAAAAACATTAAAAAAAATAAATTGTAGGAGCGCCTGGGTGGCTTAGTCGGTTAAGCTTCCGACTTTCGCTTTGGTCATGATCTCGCGGTTCGTGGGTTCGAGCCCCGCGTCGGGCTCTGTGCTGACTGCCAGCTCAGAGCCTGGAGCCTGTTTCAGAGTCTGTGTCTCCCTCTCTCTGACCCTCCCCTGCTAACGCTGTCTCTCTCTTTCTCTCTCTCTCTCTCCTAGAAATTAAAAAAATATATATATTTAAAAAATAAAAATAAAAAAATAAATTGTAAACTAAACGAACTTGTCTGTAAAGTCACACAGTTAAAAGACCGGTTTGCTCACATTTCTTTCTAGCCGGGCACCCGAATGAGTCCCTTCCCGCTTCCCGCTGTCCTAACTAGGCCTTTCCAGAACACCTTTACGTAAGCTTTCCTTGCTTTTCTGCTGGGTTACCCCCCTTGACTGTCCTCTCCAGAGTGGGTGAGGCCGCGCTGGCAAGAGCGTCCCGCGTCCCCAGCGCCGGCCACCGCCGCCTCACCTGGGCGCTCACGTATCGGGCAAACCACTCCCGGCCTTTTCCGTTCTCGCTGCTGCAGTACTCTCCGAACTTGGCTTTCTCCTCCCGGTCCAAGTCCTCCCTGAAAGGAACAGAGGAGGAAAAGCAACTTTCAGTCCTCTGGGACACACACAGCCACAGCGGGGGCGGGGGGGGACCAGGAAGCACTCTCCCCGCCCCCCAGCCAGGTGCGGTGGTCGACTGACAGGCGACCTCACGAAGAAATGGGGTTATTTCTATCTCAGAGGCGAGGAGACTGGCTCGGAGCGTCACACACAGCGGGAGAGTGGCGAAGGGGAGCTCCATCCAGACTTCCGGGCTCCAACACCCGCGTTCCCTCCCCTCGGTCCTGCCTCCAATGACACGGGAGCCTGGCAAGGGTAGCACGACCCTCTGAGGACCCGCTTCTCTAGCTCAGCTGCCTTCCCACTCATGGGCGCTGAAGTCGGCGCAGAGCCGCAGCGAACTCACAAATACCTAACTTGCTCGGCCTCAGCAGGACACACTGGCTTGATCGGGGGGCACGGTCAGTTACTGAAAATCCAGCCTGTCGCCTCTCTGACGACCCTGGCTCTGTGTATGAGGGGCGGAGACCGGGGGACCCCTGGTGGGGGGTGAACAGAATCCTCCTCTGACCTCAAACCACTTCTGATCACTCTCCGTGGAAAGCCAATACTCTACCCCACATTTAAAGGCAAAATAAAGGAGCAGAAGGCTGACGATAAATTAGCTCATGCAATTTTTCATTTATTTAAGGTTTTGTAGAAAACATCTTGCTCTCAGTTATCCCCAAATACCAACACCAGATGAAACAGGAGAGCGTGCCAGCCAGTTTGCAGCGATTTCTGGAAGGCTCTCGAAGATGCGTGTGGCTCAGCTGTCCGTGCTCCATATTGCTGACGGGCGGCGGCAAATATAGATTGGCCTTCCCGAGAGATTAGCTGGCTTCTGGGCTTTCTCACCCTTTCGTTAACTGGCTGTGCTCAGAGGAGGCTGACTAATTCCCGTGTCAGTGAAACAAAATTAGGAAGGGCCACATCCACTGCTCTCCCAAAACACATTCAAAATGAAACACGAATGCATGTTGCGATAGTCCAATATTTGGATTATCGCTCAGCTCTTCCCTTTTTTTCTTTTTTAATGTTTTATTATTATTTATTAAAACAATTTTTTAATGTTTATTTTTGAAGGAGAGGGAGAGACAGCATGAGAAGGGTAGGTTTAGGGAGAGAGGGAGACACAGAATCCAAAGCAGGCTCCAGGCTCCGAGCTGTCAGCACAGGGCCGGACCCGGGCTCAAACCCCTCCAACTACGCGTTCATGACCTGAGCAGAAGTCGGATGTTTAACCGACTGAGCTACCATGGGTTCCTCCCAGGCAACCGCCCCCCCCCCCAAACCCCCTTCTTCCCGCTTCCAACTGCAAAGGAAATGGAGACGCCCCAGGCAAAGGCAGGCGTCCACCTTGCCAGATTACAAACAAGGAACCTACATCAGGGTGGAAAATAAGGCCTCTGCACTGCGTCGACAGGCAAGTTCCTATTGCGTTACTAAAACCGGAAAATTATCCCATCAGGTCCTCAGCCCCTCAGGCTGAAGTGAGGTTTTGTTAAAACACAGATTCAGACTCGGTGGGTCAGGCCCGGCGGGAGACTCTGCATCTCCAGCTGGCTCCCAGGATGCTGATGCCCTGCGGGTCCACACAGGGCATATAAGTGGCAAGGCCGCCAGCCACCCTTGACCTGGGAAACCCAGGGCTTTGGGTTGGTGCCCCGCCCCCACGTGGAGATAGGAACAAGTGTGGGCCCGCCCACACACACCCCCTCCTCGGTCCGATCCTAACCCCACCTCTGCTCCGTGTGTTCTAATTGCCAGGGCTCCTATTTACCCCTCAGGCGCTGCAAAGGAAAGGCAAAAGAGAGGAGCAAGGGGCGCCTGGGGGCTCAGTTAGTTGACCTTCCGACTTGGAGCCAGGTCATGACCTTGCAGTTTGTGAGTTCGAGCCCTGCGTCCGGCTCTGTGCGGACAGCATGGAGCTTGCTTGGGAATCTCTCTCTCTCTCTCTCTCTCTCTCTCTCTCTCTCCCCAACTTGTGGTCTCTTTTTCTCTTTCTAAAAAATGAATAAATCAGAAAGAAAAAGGGGCAAGGAGCAGCGAGGACGTGAGTGTGTCAGCGGACGGATGGCCAGAGCTTCGGCGTGGGGGCGAGGGGAGAAGTGAAAATTCCCCGCAGGGTTCTACCTGCGGCCGAAGGTGGGGCTGAGACCCCTCCAAGTGGCCCTAGCCCTGGTTGGTGAGGGGGCAGAAGCCCCGCCCCCAGAGAGCCAAGTCCCGCCCCAGGGGTGGGGCTGAGACCCCCTCCCAGTGGCCCCGCCCCTGGCAGGTGTGGGAGCGGAAGCCCCGCCCCCACAGGGCCGCGTCCCGCCCCCGGGGGCGGGGCTCACCCTCCGGAGAAGATCTTGTCCACGTAGCTGCGCATGAACTCCCGGAGCTCCAGCGTCTCCTCGTCCTTGGCCGACTCGGTGCTCTGGTTGGAGGAGAAGGACTCGTTGGAGGAGGAGCGGCGGTACTGGTCCCAGGACGGGTGTGAGGGCGACTCGCCCATGTCGTTCTCGCTGTCGGCGGACTCGGTGGTCTCGCTCTCCGAAGCCGCGTCGCCCTGCGAGCTGTCCCCATCCTGCAGCTGCGGAGGCAGCGCCTGCCGGGGTGGGGACGCGGGCGGCTGGCTCCCCAGGTCGATCAGCGCGCCCACGGGCACCTCCGGGGCCTCCATGGTTTGTCGGGGCTTCCGGGCGCGAGGCCGCAGGGCCGCGTTCCCAGGTGTGTCAGCGGGAGCGGGAGGCCAGGCACAGGCGCCGCCGGGGCCGCTAAGGCATCTGGAACGGAAGGCACGGAGCGTCATCGCCACTGCCCGCCAAGGGGACCGCAGCTCTGGGGATCCAGACGCGATACAGGCTCCCTGTAAAGGGAGCGGGCTCCAAACTTCCACTGTCCGGGCCGTCGCTACACGGACGTCGTGGTCCCACCGCCTCCTTTACTGTTAAAGCCCTGGCACGTGGAGGCACTCAGTAACTATCTGTTTAATAAGTGAACAAATAAATACCAACGATCCCGACTTCTCCAAACTAAGCAAACAGACTTCAGAGGCGCCGGCCCTGCCGGCCCCCTCCCTGCTCTGGCCCACGTGACTGGTGCCAATAAATAAAAAGGCCGACCCCGGGCTAGAATCAGAAAATCACCAGGGACTCATCTGCCTGCTCACCGCCATTAGTGTCAGTGGCCACGGGAGACGTGTCACCCGGCACGGCGGGAAAAGCCGCCTCTGCTGAGCACGCAGGGCGCTCACTGTCGGGCTGGCATCCCTTCCCTCCTGGGCCCCTTTCTGAGGATTCTCCCGCTCAAGACCCAGAGCCTCCCCAGGCTGCCAGACGGCTGTCCCATTTCATGTCACTCACAAACCCTCCGATAGCTTCTGAGTGTCATGTGCTGCCAGGACCCACGTGCCCCTTCCCGCCCTCTCCCTGCGCACAGCTGGCTAGGTGACAGCTGGCGTCTTGCGGTGCCTGTTCCTTCCGCTGCTCCCCCTTCCCGCTCCCTGCCTCTCCCTGCCCGGATGCCCCCCACTGCGCTGGGGGGCTGACACAGCACCACCTCTGCCAAGCAGCTCACTCCACTCCTCTTCAAAACTACTTGGTGATTCCTCTGCTCCCCTCCGGTATTTTACTTATACCCATTTATAATTCTGTTTGCTTAACGGGTAGATATTAGTATTTCTGTTTATCCCTCTGAAGCAAGAGGCCTCTGGAGCACTTGCATAACAATTGAGCATCTAGTGCAGTCTCAATAAGGCGCTGTGGGCCAAGCGCCGGCGAATGGGTGGATGTAGCCCTCCAGGAATGTACTTAGAGAGCCCGGAGGGTCAGAGCTGGGGTTGGAATCTTTGTGCCTCAACGGGGTCTCCTGACGGTCAGCTCGGGAGTCACCCGTCAGTCCTGTGACCCTCCCTCCCCGTTGAGGAGTGGCAGACAGCTAAGCACGAGGCCAGAGCCCTCCCGAGTCACCAGCTCCTCCAGGCAAGAGCAACCTCCAGACTGGACATGACCTTCTCTGCAGACCTCAAATGTCCAGCCGACAGGTGGCCACCAATACGGTGGCACTAATGCATCTTCTGACCGTAATTCGATATCTGAACTGCATTTGCTGCCTGTTAAGAGCTTAATGTTCACAGATCGATCATGAGTTCCTCCACATTCCCCAGCCGGCATATTTTTAAACGCCCTGAGTCAGAAAGACGGAACGCTGGCTCCTCGTTGTCGGAGCAGCAACGACACACCTTTGGTAGAGTCCTGCGGAGGCTGCCCTGGTCCAAAAGAGAGAAGCATATATCTCCACTTAAAGGAACTTTCTGGGCCAGGAGAGGACTGTGGCGATTTTAGGGGTTCGGGAGATGGCGCTGCCACTCAGAGAGCCAGAGACTGAGGAGGGGTCCCCATGGCCTCTGCGCTCTGGGCCGGGGCCTGCCCGTCTGAGACACTGTGGTCTAGCTTACATTCTTTTTTTCTTTTTTTAAGTAGGCTTCATGTCCAGCATGGAGCCCAAAACGGGGCTCAAACGCACGACCCTGGGACCAAGACCAGAGCTGAGATCAAGAGGCAAGACGCTTAACCAACTGAGCCACCCTGGGGCCCCAGTCAGGCTGGAATTCTAATGCCCTTCTGGCCATCACCTTCTCCGATTCTCCAAAGTACAGAAAACCACACCTGTATCAACACACTGGATATTAAAAAGGGGAAAATCACACACTGGGAAAATGTGTGCAGGCAGTATGGTGGTAGAACTGGGTCAGTAATATCTGTATCATAAATTCACCCAAATCCAACCGAAAACACTGTATTCGAATAGATATCCCAATGAGTCAAATAGGTGAGGCACGAAGAAGAAATGGGATGACTAAATGGTCAGACAATTCTTCAGCCAACCCTAATAACCACACATGTACCGTGAGATCATGACCTGAGCTGAAGTCAGAGACTTAACTGACTGAGCCACCCAGGTGCCCCAGCAACAAAAGTATTTCTAATCCTGATAAATGGGGGAGGGGGGGGCGAGTAGAATGTAAATTACAGGAAAATGGCAAATACATTCTAACAATTTGATGCAATCAGTGAACGGATGCAGTTAGAAACAATGAGAACATGAGTGAAAGATGTTCGTTCACTTTACAGCCACCTAAACAAAACAATCTGCCACCAATGAATATTTACTGAGCCCCCGGCACGCTGTCCTTTGGTCTGGCTGCTGGGAATACGTAGGGCACGAACTATAATTTTCTTATATGACAACAAAGCATTGTACAAAAACTAGCTGGAAGAGGCCAGAAGTCTATTACAGCCCTGGCCCTGAGATCACTTTCCCTTTTGATGTCGTTCTTGATCATAACGGTGCTATTTGTAAACAAGTAAACATTCCGAGGGAAAGGGAAACAAATTTCTGTACGTTGTGACAGTTTTAGGCGGTTGGATGGGCTGCCCCTATTTACCCAGCAGAGCACCCAGCATCACGGCCTCAAGATCACATCGAATTATCACGGCTATTTCTGGTCCAGCCTGGGGCTAGTGAGCCGCTCTCCCAGCGTCTCCCTAGCTCGAAATTCTGGGAGTGTGTGAGTCATCCTTTCCCAGCAGCCTCCTCTGTGGGCTCAGGAAGGAAGGACACCGTGACGGGGAGAGGCACCGAGGGGAGGGAGAAGTGGCGGGGGACCCAGTCCTGGATGCGTGAGGGCACACAGACACCGCCACTGTACACTGCTGGCTCCCGGGCCCCTCAGCTCGGGGGTCTGTCCTCTCACGGGAGAGAAGGCAGGGCTGCTGAGTCTGTTCGTGGGGTTCAGATACCAGCGCGAAGCAGCCGTTGGGGGTGAGGGGCTTGGGAGCACCCCAGCCCCCTCCTTTAGGAAGGACACGTGATCATGAGCCTCCGTGCAGGACAAGGTGACGGTCACTCTGAACACACAGGATCCCACACCTCGCATGACCAGCTGTGTTGGGCCGGCCGGAGAACACAGAGGAGGTGGGCCCCTTGGGAGCCAAGTTCACTGTCCCTGCTCAGAGCCGCCAGGTGCCACACTCAGGAGCGCGGGCCCAGCGGCACCAGATCCAAAGAGCTTTCTGAAGAACTGCTGAAACGCACTATGTGAAATCCTCCAATTCCTCAGCCCTGGCAGCTAATTCCAATGTATTTCAGAATGTGTCGTGGGCCAGAGGAAACACATCGGTGGGCTGTGCCCCAATCCCTTTGGGGGCTCCCGAACCCACTTCAGGCCCCAGACTCTGACACTTGGGGGTTTTAAATCATGGCAGATCTTTGCAACTATAGAGCGTGCGTGTGAAAAACGCTTCTCTGTCGCCCTGAGGCAGAACGCAGCTTCCTGCAATCGTAGTCTTACCCTCGTTTCCCGGGCCTTGCAGCACAGTTTCCACCAATCAAATGAGGCTAAAATACTAATTCGGGGGTGCCGGGGCGGGGGGGCGAGTTGGTTAAGCATCCGACTCTTGATTTCGGCTCAGGTCACGATCTCCTAGTTCGTGGGATGGAGCCCCACGTCAGGCTCGACGCTGACAGCACAGAGCCTGCTTGGGGTTCTCTTTTTAGCTCTCTCTGTCCCTTCCCCGCTCGCATGCACTGTCTGTCTGTCTCTCTCTCAAATATAAAGAATTAATAAGCTTAAAAAACGTTAAAAAGTAAATAAATAAAATTCGAAGTCCACCTATAATCCAAAGGCCTTAACCACCCAACCTGCTCGTTCAACAAATGTGGCAGGAGTTTAAGCACAGGCATCTGTATGCACAGGACCGGAGCAAAGGGGCAGGAGGGCGGGCCACGGGGGTCACGCTCTGACCTCCTCCCCTCCCCACGTGCCCCCCGCACCCCAGCCTTTCCTGCCACCGCGGCCCCAGCTGCGGGAGGAACTCGGAAGGAGATTGCCTTCCTGTGGCTGCTCAGCCGCGTCCCCACGGGCTTTGCTCAAACTCTGATTTCCCCCAAACCCGAGTCAGGGCTTGTGCAGCAGCTGCACTTTGAGCAATTGGATGAGGCTCCCTGGGGGAGGATCCGGAACTTTCCATAACTCTGCCCCGTGCCATCCGCCTGAGGCAACTCACTTTCTTTTGGTGTCCCCATGAACAGTCAGACGCGCTGGTCTTCTCAGAAAAAGAGAAGGAAAGAACAAAGCCTTTCCAAAGGAAAGAGCTCGCTCAGAGTCCCTAACAGGCTCATGGTCACATCCATCCAGCCCCTCATCTCACAACGTCAGTAAACCAAGCCTTGCAGACGCACTCCCAGGCACAAAGCTAGGACAGCACCCGCCATCCGTCCACAGGACACGGGCTCTGGGCCACCAGGCTGTCCCTCTGCAGCCTCTGGTGCTGCCCTGGGGGCACATTTCTGGATGTGGGGTTGCTGGGTCAGAGCTTTGCACGGCACTAAGGCTGATGATGGGAGCTATTAAGCTGCCTTCCCCAAAGTCTGACGCGTGGCCACATGCACTTGGCAGGGTTTAGATCCGCACCAAGGGTAAGGTCGAAACCCCAACCGGCCCCCAAACTCAGAACTGTGACTCATCTGTTTCAGTCTGGGTTAAGTGAGGGGCCATGCGCGAGGCAGGGCAGGTCCACTCTGCACCCCAGGGAGCTGGGACGCACGAGGCCAGCTGTGTCTCCGCACAGAACCTCCCAGAAGCCCCAGCCTCCAGCGAAGGCGTCTGGTTTGAGGACTGTGCCTGACGTTGGCTGCAAATGGAGAAGGCCAGCTTCACGCCTTGGGATCCAGCTCCACTCAGACTCACGCCAGGAAGGTCATTCGTGTTTTTAAAATATTC